TAACAAGCAACAAACCAGGTTGACTTGTGACAATTAATTAAAATGTAACTTTTTTGACCGATTGACTTGGATACCTAAAGTAAACCAAAGGAATACATCAATTTAATGAGCATATGGCTGCTGTAGTGTCATATACTATTGTCACATCGTAACATCACTGGTGTGACATGACTTCTCAGCACGTAATATAATAGTATCACATGCTGTCCTCATATCCAAGGCTTATACGATAAGACTCAAAGATATATACTTAAAATTACCTCTTTTTATTTACAAAAGTTACAAATGTTTTAAATGGAGACGTGTTTTAGTTATTAGAAGAAACACCCACATTCTATTTGAGACTAATAATAGTGGAGTGGCCTATTGGGGTACAGACATATATATATACACCTGTCACCGAATATCCTTGTGTGGATACCAGTAACTAAAAATAGCATTCAGCATAAAGTGTTGAAAGATTTACAGCATTTGGTTTGAGACGTACAAATATTGAAAAATGATGTCATAATTGTTTAAAGAAACTTGTGGAGCTGCTTTTAAATTTTAATTGAACGTGAACTGTTTAATGCAATGTGAAGTTACACAGGTGTAGTGGGTTCCATGGAGGCATACACTTGAACTTGGAGGCAACACGTTTATTACCACACTCCACCAGGGTTACTACATGAACGTACACTAGTTAAATGGACCCCAACAGGGTAACTACATAAACGTACACTAGTCAAATGGACCCCAATAGGGTAACTACATAAACGGGTCAGGTCAGCAACATACTGCCTGATCCACGATGCCGAGCGTAACAACCGAAGACCGAAGAGACGTAGCCCCGAGAGTTCCATTCCAACAGACAGCCGCGATCGCTCTCGGGACTTCCCTTTTATGCTCGAAGGGGGGTCTCGCTCCGCCTTCGGCCACGTCCTCTTCTGGCTCTTACCAGAAGGTTCTCGACTAAGCATCACGTGTCCCTCGAGCCCCCTTTTTGGGCCCCCTCACTACCCTGTCCCGGTCACGTGCCCTCTTGGGTTCACACAGACTGTCACGTCCTTACTTGCCCTCTCTCAGACCGTCACCAGAACTATGCCCCCTAGGGTCCGCTTGCATGCCATACCCACTCTGGTGCCAGAGAGAGGCTCAAGACGCACAGTTCCACTCTTGTGACAGTAGCTGGCGCTAAACACCATCGTGACTCTATGTACGTCACTCCATCAACCCTCCCTTTTAGAAAACACAGCCGTCCTGGCTGATCACTAACCCCTTAACCATAACAACAGCAACAATAAAAAAAAAGAATGCCTCCCAACAATAACAATGAACAACCGCGAATGAGAATAAATACAATATATACAATACATACAATTAACCAAGAATGAGAGAGAGAAAGAAAAGAGAAAACAAATGTCAGCAAATGTACAAGGGCCGACCCTACCTCCTGGCACCAAAACCCACAATCCTACCCCTGTACTCGTGTCACCACCCGCGAGCACAAGAAGACCCAGGATCAGTCAATGACCCATCCGGTTCGTGTGTGTGACCACCAACAGACGGTGCGGGAACGATTATCGCGCTGGAGGAGAGTCCCCATTGTGACTCTATTTAAGTCACTACACAGGCATAAGGTTACGTGCCCTGTAATTGCATATGTACCGAGCGACATTACTTGTGGCTATATATGTGAAGCTATGCAACTCGCTGATCACCCTTTGTGCTTTAAACAAAATTGCAGATTCTAACTTGCTTACATCACAGCCCTATACTTGGAGAATGTAATCGTTATTGTACAGGAAAACTTCACCGAATGTAGTGATCATGGTTCTGGAATACCGTCTTGGGAAAAACCGCGATCGGCAAATTTAAGACCTTACAGGAAAACAGGGTTACATTCCTGGGTCCCAAATGATCACCCTCTCCCTCTTTATTTAAATAACTAGTTCATATATCCTGTCTTCACCAGGCAAAGTGTTGAAGAATCTGATATGATTTGTTTTTATCTATGATCAGACACTAACAACTACTCCAAAAATGTGTTTTTGTACGCAAAAAATCTGACATAGTTGACTTGATTCAACTTCTTATTTAATCTAATTGTCTTCTTGGTCTCCCTGTATCTGCTCTCACTCTCCTCCAACAAATAGAAAATGCTCTGCAAGGGTTATTTTCAATTTCCCCATTAATTGTCACAGTTCTCCTCTCTATTTAAAGCTTTCGTGACTGCAGGGATTCATCTTCTTGGTTCTTTCGGTAAAGTCACGTAGAAGGGAAATAATACAAATTAAACATAATAAAAGAAAAATTATCACGACGTTTCGGCCACAACATAATCAGCCGTCCTCGGGTGAAGAAACAGAGCTGTCCATTGGGATGCTGTCTTTCCGACAGCTGTTTCTTCACCTGAGGACGGCTGCTTGTGTTGCGGCCGAAACGTCGTGAGAATTTGTATTTTATTATGTTTAATTTTTATTATTTTATTATTTCCCTTCTACGTGACTTTACCGAAAGAACCAAGAAGAAGTTCTCCTCTCCTCCTTCAACTCCACTACAGCTGTGTTTAATCTCATCATGCCCTTGCCCTACCTTATCTTGCCTCACCTTATCTTGCCTCTCTAATCTCCTTCTATGTCCCCTCTCCTCTTCATTCCCAATTTCTGTCTCTCTCTGTCCCTCCTTGTCCTTGTGCCCAATCCTGTTTTCGGTCGATCTCCCTCCTGGAATAAACTTCCCCTGTACATTAAGCAGTCACCCTTCATAACCTCATTCCGTTTCTCCCCTACCCTTTCATAATCTCTAAGTACCCTCGATCGCAGTCACTCATTCCTCAATATTTGCATTGCAATCTTCCAATTAAATACATTTTCTTCTGTCACTTTTGTTTTACTATTTCAAGCACCTTGAATAAAGCTGTTAAAAAATATTAGATTATCCAGTAGCATGTGTTTTAAACAAGCACTCTTTAGCCTTTTGGGTCTCCTAAGCAGTTGGAATTGTAAATCAAATACTGCTGGATTGCCATATTTTTTTGGCAAGACCACTGCATTTACACAATGGGGGCCTGTCTAACACCAATATCATTGGTTGAAAAGAAATAAATGTTCAACAATACATTAACAGGTTTTTATTTATGAACAGCAACTCAAACTTCTCGTTGCTCAAGCCCTGACCATAGCTATCCCGTAAGTGCATGAAACGGAAGCTACTGAGTAAGACGTCTTGTGCTGCAAGGTGGAGGGTGGAGTAATTTCCATATTGTGTCGTCGTGACCTGTGTTTGGAAAGCTGTGTGCGGAGCGGCATGGTTGTGATGTAAAAATACAACACTGATAAAGCTTTATTTGACTAATTTACTTCGTGAAATTAAATATGTTACAATAGCACCCACGTCAAGCACAAGGCTGATTACAAGCAAAGTTATGCACGTGTGGTTTTTATGTTTAACATGGGAATACTGTGTGCAATGTTATACACACTATGCATACGAGTCGGTATGGATATCACCAATAGGCAGCAATTAAACTAACCCTTGTCAGTACCTCACCAATGAACAATGTGAACATTTAATGACGTGAACATTAATGTCACATTAATGTAAAATACACGCTATGTATCTTTTCTCAACATTTTCTCTGCTGAACTAGGCCTTGCAAACTACATGAATATTCTTCAGTGCATTCTTTCATGCAGGATAGGCTACTTTTATAGTAATCTAGGTAATTTCTTATTACAATGGGTTTTTTGTATGATGTTAAAACATTAAACGGATCTTGTGCACAGTTATTTGTGAAAAGAAAAGCTGTATTACGTAACCAAGCATAGGTTTCAGCAGCGGTAATACCTCTGGTGTTTTCCTGTTTAAACTTGTGGTGGAAAGTCTCGCAGAAATACAATCTTGTAAAACATTCGTCCTAAATAACATTTGTAAGGCACACTACTGCCTTGCAGTCTTTTACACTTGAGAATCTTCCATAACATTGGCAACCAACACAAAAAGTGACATTGCAAAATGGAAAATTACAAATGTGTGTGTGTGCCAACAGTGTGGTGAGGTTGCACATGCTGCTAGTTTTGGACACAACTACCCTGTGCCTGTGATGTAGAGATCTTACACAACATGAGTTCATGCTAACCTTGACTATGTATCATACTGGATACAACATGAGAAAATCCTTTCTTTCTGGATTCCTGTCTGTCTGACATGTGGGCAAGTGTGCTTGCATGTTGGTGACATCGCTGCGCTTATTTGCGTGATGACGTCACCAATATCCCACAGCGTTGATCCATGATCACGCATGGAGCTGACGTCACACCTCCCCCATACCGACCCTCCATCCTGGCCGTGGAGCCTGTGCAAATGTGAGAGGAGAGAGATGGGTGAGGAAATGAGATAAGAGGAGAGAGACAGGTGAGGGAGGGAGGGAGGTGAGGGAGGGAGGGAGATAGGTGAGGGAGGGAGATAAGAGGATGGCGAAAGAGACAAAACGAAGAGGAGAGAGGCAGGGAGAAAGTGAAAGGACATGAAATTAAGGGGAAAGGGAGAGCAAAATGGAAAGAGGGGTGAAGGAAAGTGACAAGCGGTGGGAGAGAGGATAAGGGAAAGGCAAGAGAGATTGAAACGGGAAAGGGAGAAGTGGGAATAAGCAGAGCGAGGGTGAGAGAGAAATGCAGAGAGATGGGGGGGGGAAGTGGATAAGATAGTGGAGGGAGGAGAGGAATATGAGGGAGAGATAGAAGAGGGAACTGGAATAGAGACTGAGAAATCGAGATAAGTTGGGATGCACAATACGGAGACGACAGAAAAAGTTGGTGACAGGGCTCTGTATAAGATTAAAACATTGGCTGGCTGGCAGGGGAGGGCTGGACAGTCACATCCAAAGGACGTACGAGTTGCTAGTATATATATAAAAGAGTATATGTAATTATATTTGTGTTAAGTAAACAAATGGACATTTTGAAATGGAAATGTACTTTTCCCCCACCCAGCCATTAACATGAGGCGCTGCCCTGCAGGTGTATCTGATCGGCAGTGAGGCCATGGCGAGTGCCCTTGAGGAGGCGGGGATCCCTTTTGTTGGGGGCCCGGGCCCCGAAGTGGACCTGGGCTGGCCGCCGGAGAAGCCAGAACTGGACCCGGATGTGCGGGCGGTGCTGCTGGGCTTTGATCGACACTTCAGCTACGCCAAGATGGTGCGGGCAGTGGCTTACCTCCGCGATCCTGCCTGTGCCTTCGTCGCTACCAACACTGACACCTGTCTGCCGCTGGAGGGGGACAGGGTTATTCCAGGTGAGCTGATGGCAGAGTTCGCAATCGGGTTTTGATTCCTTACCCGTACCCGGCCGCACCAGGGTCGCAAACGGATACCCGTACCTATACCCTACCCAATACCCGGCTACTCATACCCGGCCGGGTATCGGGTAGGGTACGGGTATCGGGTACCCGATTGCGACCTCTGGCTGATGGGCTCCATTTTACTTGCCTATATTACTGTTGAGCCCCCCACTGCCAATTGAGTCTTGGTGTCTTTCTGTATTTGAATACCTGCTGCAGCGGTCCATTGTGAGCATCTTGCCGAAGCGAGTGGAACTCGTCTCCTCTCAAGGCAGCGCGTGAAGCCAGTGGTGGACATTCTATATTCCCGTGTAGCTTGTCAACTCTACAGATGCAGATCTCTTTGTCCATGGTGATATGGGAGACCAATGGCATGGATCCTGTTATCCACGGAACTATCCACGATTTTACTCTCATCCACATGTTAACATAACCGGCGGATTACCCGCGAATAGGATATATTTGCAGTATGACCAGGGGCGGTTTCTTCATTAGGGCGATTGGGCGACGCACCACCAATGTCATTCAACCACAGAGTTACGCTTGCCGTTACTGTGCCTCTGGATATAGTCCAATCAGCGTCATGTCACGTTCTGTGGAGTACCGCCTCTTTTTGGGCGATTTCACTCCGGCTGAGAATTGCCCAGAGTGTTCCCATAGACTTACATTCAAAGATGTTTTTTTTTCGAACGGCGGGCGCTCCAATGCATTCTCTATGGCTTCCGGGAGGGCTCGCACTAACGTGCTTACGTCATCATACGTAAGCACGTTTCAGTCAACAATATTATTTGTCGCCACCTAGTGGAATCTTTAATAAAAGAAACTGAGTGTATTGTAATAATAGTGAGTATAGAAACAAACAAGATGTATTGTAAGAGTCACTTTATTTTTCATTAATATTAAAGAAGTGAAGTTGCCTTTACATGCTTAAGCTGTTAATTTATCCATTGCATGGGTGAACCTTATCCTTATCAATCATCCAGACATTTTCCCCCCCTGAGAGATTTTGCAGGAGCCGCCACTGAGTATGACTACTCTTATCCAGGGAAAAAATTGCGGATAAAAGGATGCTGTGCCACAAAAACGTATCCCAAAAGTAAAGGAAATGGCGAATAGGAATATGGCTACTATTTGTGACCATCCAACTTTGCCACAGCGCCTCGAAAGCAATTCCCTTCACCTGCCATGAGATCTTTATTCCTAAAACTTACATAGAAAGTTTAAACTTGAAAGGACATTCACATTGGATTTAGGGTAGTCTTGGAGGAAATAGCAAAAATACATTCCTGCGGAGGGAGCTGGTAGGAACGTTGGGTTGCTCGGTCAATGGCCAGGGTGTATTCCGCAAATATGGCCGACTGTGAGGGCGGGCACAAGCCGGCGTGAGTAGGTTAAACGTTGAGTTTTATAAGGGCACCACGGGGCGACCAGCCCCAACCCTCCCACTCCCCACCCAGCCCCTCCCCACCCAGCCCCTCCCTACCCTCCCCTCCCCACCCAGCCCCACCCTCTCCACCCTCCCCACCCTGCCCCTCCCTCCCCACCCAGCCCCTCCCTGCACGACGGACAGACACAATAATCCCCTGTGGGCTGGTGTAACCAGGAGGTTCCTACCAGTATAACTGGTTGTCTTGATCTATCGTACCGCACATTAATTCACAACCTGATTTACATTGTGACGATGTTTGTTGTTCATATGTACAGTACAGCTGACAATTATCTGTGACCTTGTTACCCACGTCTGCTGTTATCCATGGGACCAAAATGGTCTTAGGAAAATGTTTTGTTAATATTTAAAGAGATGGTTGATACTTCAACGGCGTTAGCGTAATTGGAGTGGTGCAGTGTCGTTGGGGAATGACTTTGAGAGGTCACTGGCTATCTATACATGTTGAGTGATTTGATATGTTGCCCTGCCTGCATAGCGGCATGCAGTAACTTTACCGAATCAGCTGAAAGCTGTAAAGTTATTTTTGAACAGGTTTGTACTTGAAAACGTATAATGCTCATATCTGCAGTTGCACTGAGGTTTTTAATTTGCAAATATTTGCACGCTAAATGTACTTTGATCTTAGCAAGTAATTGGTGATCAACTACGTAGATACATTTAAATATTCTGCATTAACTGACATTTCCATAAGCAAGTAGTGTAACTTGCCAAAATCTGACATGTTCAATTGCCCATAAATAATTGTGTTTTGACAGAACTGAAATTTCAATTAAATGCATGCACACCAACTGTTTAATTATATGCTCCTACAGAGAACGAGTCTTGTCTGTGATGTTGTTGAAAAACGAAAGTTTGATTACGTGGTAGAAGGTTCATTCTTGTGTGTTTGTGGTGTTGTTTCATCCTCGCCTGAGGAATGATGGGATGAATGGAACATGAAAAACGATTGTTAATAAAGCCATACATTTGTCAAATTCTAGCCTGACACCATAAATTACACGACTTCCTGGTTTGCATATTCCTCACATTTTTACCTTAATTTTATTGCTGTGAAATACGTCACACCTTACGAAAGAATATCTTTGTATTTTTTTGCAAAAAATGTCAAGATGTGGTGCCTGTTGCTGGTATAGAGTAGCATTTTATGATGAAAGCTGAATTCACTTCTCTTGCTAAATACATGCATCGAATTGTGCATTCGGAGAATCGATTGTTTTCGGTCCTTATATTTCAAATGTTATGGGTTCTTGTTTTCTTGTTCATGTTATTATTTTTTGCGGTTGCACCCGATTCAAGAGCCGAATGGCTCACAGGGCTATACCAAATAAATGGAACTGAAACGTGACTGCTGCAGTGGAATCGTGTTGACGAGCGGTGAATCGCATCACGCCTGATGATAACTGGGCTGTTGGCTTGATGAGTTTCGTCCGCGCCTGTGTGCTGTGCAGGCACAGGCAGCCTGCTCGCCGCCCTGGAGTGTGCGTCGCAGCGCAAGGCGGCCATCGTGGGCAAGCCCAGCGAGTTCATGTTCGAGTGTGTGCTGCGTGCCGAGAAGGTGGCACGCGAGCGCTGCTTAATGGTCGGCGACCGCCTCGACACGGATATCCTCATGGGCACGCAATGCGGCCTACCCACGCTGCTGGTGCTCACGGGTGTCTCTACGCTGGCCGAGGCGCAGGCCTGTCGCGACAGCAACGACCACGAGCGCCAAAAGCTGGCGCCCACTTACGTCATCGACTCCATCGCTGACCTGCTGCCTGCGATCGACGAGCTCTGATCACGTGTCTGATTTCACCTCGATTGCTTAGCAATAGCTATTACGTTTTTGCAAATTGTGATTCAATGCCGAATGGTGTCTCTTTATGCCTTGTTCGTACTCCATAATTAGCATTGTTTTGGAATTTTGCTATTTATAGTCCTTGCAACTATATCATCTTTATCCTTTACATAAAATGTTCTGATTACAGTATAGTTATCGGTGACTCATCTGGTCAGTATGTAATTATCTGTCATAGCAGCTTGTTGCTCATTAGAATTTTGCTAGTTACCAACATGTGAAATCATCGCTGCATAAAACCATGTTGGCCCTGTGTGCCCTGATACCATCACTATTTAAAAGCACTCGTAGAATAGAGGCGTGTCTCTTTCAAGCGTTCTTTATACGATAATTTGCTATAATGAGCAATTTTAATTTAGACCCATTTGTTCGCAATAACGAGCAAATTATTCGCTTATCGAGTGGAGACCGATAAATATGCATCCTGTGGCGGCAGGGGGTGAGAGCTTGCCTGGGTGTTTGGTTGTGTGGCACTAATGAGTGGGGTGGTGTAATGGTGAGCGTGCGGCACGACGAACCCGGTGAACTGAGTTCGATTCCTGCTCAAGGCCAACACCAGTGACGATTATCTGATCCGGTCCTGGGCCTCCCCTAGGTCGACACAGCCAGAAATGCGTTTTTAATATTTGGATTTTATAAATTTCCACGTGATCAACCACTTCGCTGAGCAATCATTTGTGGCCACATCTCTTCTGAAAAAGCAATATAGCTCAGTCGGCCTTAGTAAAATAAATAAAAATTTAGTTTCAAATGAGTACCTGGTACGGTGTGTAAACATCGCCACTAGGGAGACAAAGGCGGCCGGGCGTGGTACTGGCCACCCACCCCTATTGTGCCATACCGGCCTTTAAAGGTGCTCGCTAACAACACTTGCCCCAACAGTCTGTTAAGGCTATACGGGGGATCTTGCACTGTGGTTCTTAATGTGTCGTGTAATATTTGATTTTAATATTTATTTTTTAAATTATAATTTGTATTTCTCATGTTAAAAAAAAGTTTTTCAAGAGTGGACAATTTTGAGGCTAAAAACTTTGCTTTTAACATGGGAGTCAATGGGGAAATAATTATCGTTAAGCAATTTTCACGGAGCGTATCTCGTTAAGCGAGGCACGCCTATATTAACACATATCTTAGAGTAACAGAATGCTTTGAGTTGATTTCAGAAAAAAAAATCCAGGTATAAAGAAGTCGATTTTGACTCCAGTAAAAATGGGAATAAAATGAAATGCAAATGTTACAAACTCCTATCAACTTCATAACCACTGCTTGGAGCCACATTTTCCCGTAATTTCAGCCATGGCTGTCTGATTTAGAATTAATTATTCAAAGATGATCATTCCGTTATTGAAAGAAAACAAATCGATGAGCTGAATTAACCACCGTGAGATGACCAGCCCAGTGAACGCCAAGATCAATTCTGGGTGCAATTTCCTGTGCAGCTCGGTCATGCACAAGGCGATGCACTGTGTGTGGCGGCATATACAACAGACTGCAACTTCCACATCAGCTACGAGTCGGATGATTAAACCTACTCATTCATGCGCCCATCTATTTTTTTTCACTTGCATAAACCAATATTTTTTTTTGTATGAGGGGTTAGTGAAATATTTGGTTCTGTATTAAATTGTGTTCTTCAGTTTGTGATAACTGATGTCGGTTGCATTTGCAGTCGTCACTATAAATGTACTGTAGATGTGATACACGACCCCATTTAAAACACTTTCACTGCTCATGATAATCACCTGTGATCAGCACATGCTTGTATGGATCCACCCTGCGCTATGTATGGTGAGAATCTGGTAAACCTACTTTGGTTCTATTTGAATGTAGAAAATGGGAGAAACAATACAGATTGTGAGGACTTAACATTATGGGTAAGGCAGGCTGCCTGTTCGATTCGTGTGTGGAGGGTTCTACCTTATAAATAAATCACACGAGGTGCCCGTGTTGAGGCTTGAGTAACAGCACCACTGTCTGCCCTGCTCACATTTTGTATTTTATGCTTAATCCATCATGTCATGAAGTCGTGTACAGTGTTTGATGTTAAATTCCCTGACCTATATTATGGGCTATTTTAATTAGAATTGACCAGTGCAATGCTTCACATCGTTGGCAGTTTAAATATGAATGGTTAAAATAAGATTGAATGAAATACACACTTGAATTGCTGAATAGCAGATAATATATTTGATTTTAAAGTATTTACTATTATAAAACATCTCTATCAAATGATGTGTCACTCTTGAGACCCACAAGAACTCACTCCAGCACATGGTTCTGGTCGTAAGTTAACAGCAAGGAGATAATTTGTGTGGCTGAAGGTCAACAGACCGTAAAATGATTCACGCTTTTCAAGTGGCCACAAGTTAAATCCCACATACGTGTGATGTCTTGCCAGTTTTTGCCGAAGCTTCAAATGTCAACGTGAACACAGCCATTGTTTAACGTCACTGTTTTTATTAACAGTGGGTAGTGTAAGCAGTTTTGGTTGCGATCATTTCAATGATGTAGTTATTGTGTAGTCTGGTTGTTTTTGTTGGCTAATGCAGTACATACAGGAATGTAGTCGAGATGGAGATGTTTTCCCGACTGCTTACAATTGTAACTGCCTCATAACCCCAGTTTATTATTCAGGAAAGGTTTAGAATTTGGAAAATAGTTTTTAGCAAGTGCGATCCTGTTAAAATGACTGCTATTGATATTCAATATGTATGTTGAACTTGGTACTGTACGTAGCCAACCATGCTAATTGGAGGTGCGGGAAAATCGATAATATAAGCTCCGATATACTGTATAAGGTTTTGTAGCTTGGTAAAAACTTGTTTTCTAATCGATGCTGCCTTCCACTGGTAGTTACTCGTAGATCTTCAACAGTTGAGGTGGGGCACATTGTGTGCCCTACCTCCACTTCCCCCCCAGCCTGTTGCCCACTACCTTCACTCATGAGCAAGCCATTGTGGTAGCAGGATATACACAAGAACAAACACCCTTTCTCTCCACGAACACCAAGAGAGATTTCGATTTAAAGCTTTCGTGACTGCAGGGATTCATATTCTTGGTTCTTTCGGTAAAGTCACGTAGAAGGGAAATAATAAAATAAGAATTTTTTTTTTCTTTTTATTACTTTATTATTTCCCTTCTACGTGACTTTACCGAAAGAACCAGGAATACCAATAGAGAGGTAAGGAAGAAAGAGACCTGACCCCTTAAAACAAGATGCAGAGTAGATCATCTTCAGAATTGAGTGTAACAATCACCAGAAACCCAAGGTGAGAGCATATAACGGAACAAACACCTGTATCTTAACTGACCACTGATGAACCCCTGACCAAACTCCTAAGGATTGAGCAGCGTGTCAAAGGTATGGGTGGGAGAAACGTAGACTGTGGCATCAACTAGAAAAACAAGTTTACAAGGAACACAACCTTATTGTTTGTCATTTCCACCGTCCACTGGTAGTTATGACTTGGCAAGAGTACTCATGCCTCCGAGTTTCACCGGCTCCTGTCGTAACAGCAAAAAGCTGCCGAGATTGTTGCAATTCGACGAGATTTAAATTCATCCATGTCTCCCGAACATATGAAGGAATGTTTGGAAGTCTGCATGGCCACTTGCACAACGCATGCCGTAGCGAATGCTTGAGGATGCACTAAACGTCGTGATACCTTTTCATTTGTAAAAGCCAAAAAGAACACACGGGATAATAGGTTTACAGTATTTTGCAGCTTCCCTCGGTTCAACCTGTACTTCTAAATAACTTTTGGAAACGTTCTAGCGAGCATGGATGTTTCTGTCTGCACCTGCTGTTGGTGTAAAAACTGAGGAATTGCTTAGAGCTTATGCATAAATACCAGTGGACGGTCGCATTGACGACGAAAACAACACTACCATGTATATTAGATTATCTGTCATTGTGTTCATGCAGTTGAAAGATGCGATGTACTTTGCGAGACCAGGAGCATTGTAGATGTGTATTTGCAGTTAGAATGCCTTGCAGGCCATTCTAAATTGTGCGGTTTTGTTTGGGGGTACCAACACACAATGGTCTACTTAGACAAGCTATGGTACCAGGGTGTTTGTTATCCACTGCCATTTTAAGTGGTGTATCTCGGTTACCAACACCATGCAGAAACTACTGGTGGCAACAATTAGGTCGTTGATGGCAGGTGGCTGAGTGACGGCATCCAGACCACCAGGTGACTCATGACTGTTCCGCTTAAATCAATGATTCACAACACAGTGAAACAGTTACGTATACAAACTAAATAATATTCCAAACATTTCACATAGTTGCAGATGCTTTTGAAACAACGTTAACAGTTACTACTCTTCCCAACTCATTTAATCTAAAACGTGGCAATGCAAACTAAACAATGGCATGGCACATATTTCATCACTTCAATTGTGTATTTTTTTTATAATAGGATAGCCCTACTTACCCGCAGAATTAAATGGTTCTTTTTGAAGTCTTTCTGATATTAATAACTGAACCAGTTGTGACTGACGAGGTTTAATTCCGTGCCTGTTTGACACGTTTCACTTCTGGCCAGGGATCTCTTGCTGCTCGTGGTTGATGTCGATGCAGTTTGTGCTCAGACCGTGAGAGCACTGGCGACGCTTATGGGTTGATCTTACCGCGCGTCTGTGGAAGAGATGCTTTAATAATTAATAAATAAAAACGTGCACAGCGTTAAAGGATTAATATATAATAGGCGACATTTCATCCAATGACCCTTATTCATAGTATTTAAATAGAGACCAGAGAAATAAAGTGGATAAGGATTGGAGACCGCACTTGACGATAATTAAATTTTAAAAAATGTATGCCCATTTTTTTTGTATTGCCATATGAATAGTTACAATATAGCTATTTAGTAGAGAATGTCTTCAATAAAAAAAACACGTTTTAACTTAATAAACGAATTTATGATGGAAGTTATTAAATATTGTTGGCACGTTAAATTTTGAAGAAATGTGTTCCTGTGAAAGCCAGACAGTCATCCCCTTAGCAATGAATTCCTGGGTCCATTTACCATTTCAATAAAAAAGGGATTTGAGTGCCCTGCATTCCTGAGCTGGAGAAATCTGAGAAATAAAATGTGAGGTACACATACATATATGCAACTAAAATAAGTAGACTAAAACTAAAACGAGATAAGGTTTGTCTAGCACTCAATAATAAAGATTGATTAAAGGAAGGTGAGATGTTCAGCCTACCTAGTAATTATGTCTATTTACGTGGGTATTTATATATGCACATATATACTACTGCATCTCGTGTGGTACACGATGGCTTTCACGGTACTGAATGCTTGAAATGCACTTGTGTCTTTGCTGAACAAAAAAGCACGCGACACTTTATAAAAGCATGCTTGATAAAGTGCATAAACCATTTTTACAGAGCTGCACACGACTACAGTACATTATTCTAACGTTAATATGCTAAATAGGGACATTAATTACTTAAAAAGCGAATTTGTCTCGTTGCAAAACGATCACTACCATGTACAGAATTGATGAGGTCCACAACCCTCCTGGTTCCTGTCCCTTATCCACAGACGTTAATATGCAATGGGACTTTGTCGTTGATAGTTGTGTACTGTATTGCACACTTATCAAATAACATAATGCACAACTGTTATATTTTTAGTATATACGGTATAATAATCATTTGCTGCCATTGTCAATACACTGTTGGATGAAGGCCTCCGCACGGCATGTATTTTGGGAATTAAGCTCTTGTTGGCTGTTTTAAAATAATTTATTTATAACAACCTCCAACCCCCCATGATTTCCAGACATTCAATAAATGGACATATAAAGACCAAGATTGCTCAATATTGTCAGTTCATTGTGATTTTGTTGGTATGTGGCTGTGCAGGTTATATTGTACCTTCTATATTGTTGTCATAGCTTTACATTCCTTGCAATAAGTAATACTTTTCTGACAATGTAATTAAAGTATACTGCAAAATGACAATTGTGCTTATGTTCTTATGCCGATTCTTCGGGCTATAATATGCTTAGCAGTGGCTTTAAGGCCAATTTCGATGATATGTTAAAATATTAAGTGGTACCTTTAATTAGCAAAATTACACTATCTGGAAAAGAAAAATGTTGTACAACCACAGTAGTTTAAATAGGGTGATGAAGTTGAGGGTAATGAAATGAATATCAGTTTGCTATACAGTATTCTGTTCACGTGATCATCATTGTTTGCTGAAGATATGACCGTGGAGTTTATTTAAATGCAGATTCCTCTCAAGCATGATAGATAACCAGATGTCAAAACCATTCAGAGCCCTCGATTGAATTGCATAACACAATTTGCCCTCACGTTCTCTTCTCATCCTGTCCTCCCCCTCACTTCTAATCCATCTCTCCAATATCACTATACATTTATTACATATTGTCCCATGAAATATATGGTTAAATAAAATATAGAAAAAAAATTGTGGCGCCAACCAAATATTGTTTGGTCGCGGGGGTGGTGATTGTGAAACAAGGGCCGCGGGCTGCTGCTTTGCCAGATGACACTGGTACGTTAGCCACCACATCACTGCGTGGCCTTCCTGACCCCTCCATGTCAGAGCCCAACCGGGAACCACCACTCATCATTAGTTGCTTTGCTACCCATCAAATCCATTTCGGATCACCCCTATTAATGTGATCAGCAGCCATTGTCAGCTGCCTGTACTCAGAATACAAAAATACCCTAGATGGGGCTTCCATGAAAAACAATCCTTGAAACATTTTAATTGGCAGTCGATGAACTTCATATTTGAAACAGGACAAAGGCAATAACACATTCCTGCGGAGGGAGCTGGTAGGAACGTTGGGTTGCTCGGTCAATGGCCAGGATCAACGGCGGCGTGGTGTATTCCGCAAATATGCCCGACTGTGAGGGCGGGCACAAGCCGGCGTGAGTAGGTTAAACGTTGAGTTTTATCAGGGCACCATGGGGTGACCAGCCCTTCCCCACCCAGCCCCACCCTCTCCACTCAGCCCCACCCTCCCCTCTCCACCCAGCCCCACCCATTTGTGGATGCACGACGGACGGACAAAATAATCCCCTGTGGGCTGGTGGAACCAGGTGGTTCCTACCAGTAAAATGTTAACCACATGCAAAATGAACAATGCACACAAAGGTCAAGTGGATTGCAAACTCCATACCAATGATTAACTATGGACTTTGACGTCAAATGTACATTGAACTATTGGACATGAGTAATTATGTGAATATATTGGCAACTGTTTAATGTTGTTCAAATTATTAAACTTTATTTTTGTTAAAATAAAAATGTAGGCAATATACCAAAAAAATCCCAAAGCGTGTACAAAGTGATCTCTTAAGCTGTAGTCAGAATTTGAACATCACGAACAGAACGAAGCAACGAATTTGTATCAACGTTTAGACCAGGGGTTTTCAACAACTGTCCCCTAAAGAGCCAGCAATAATCATTAAGGACTGTAAAAGGCCTAGAGTAGGGAGGATTACGGGTTTGTAACCAATGGTGGAATATTGCGCAGACAGCACTATCCACTGTTGAGGATCCATTGTATTACAATACCGTAATATGGTGCTCCAAGTAGCCAGTTTCCTCAAGCTTGATCTTGATGGGAGGAGTCCGTAGGATCGTTTTCATCACAAGCCCCATTTGTTTCTTAACAGTAACACATTCCTCCTGTGGAGGGAGCTGGTAGGAACGTTGGATTGCTCGGTCAATGGCCTGCAGGGTCAACGGCGGCGTGGTGTATTCCGCAAATATGCCCGACTGTGAGGGCGGGCACAAGCCGGCGTGAGTAGGTTAAACGTTGAGTTTTATAAGGGCACCACGGGGTGACCAGCCCATCCCCACCCCCCTCCCCACCGAGCCCCCCTCCCCACCCAGCCCCTCCCTGCACGACGGACGGATACAATAATCCCCTGTGGGCTGGTGTAACCAGAGGTTCCTACCCGTACAATGCTCATCTTTGGCTGCATTGTCAAATGCTGAGCAACAAGCTGGCAACTTAAACAAAATCGGTTGTTTGCATTAATAAACCCATACATTATTTGACTCCATTAAATCCAAATTACAATACTCTCGGTTATCCGCGTGCGGTTTATCCGATTTGTGGATTAGCCGTGCACCTGAGATGTTGACAAATTAATAACTTATGGATGTTCCCTTAAGCCTAAATTAATAACCTAAAACAGTTAAACATTATTCTCGGAAATGTTTATTACAATTCATGTACTTAAACCGAACAAATGTATGCTCCAGTTAATTCGAAACAAACTAAATTTTCTTAACTTAAACATAATTTATACCTATAATAGGGGGTTTTGGCATCGAGATCCGTGGAAATTATATTTAGGATTTCCTGCGATTTGCAGTCGTCCTCCGTCATTAGCACAGATAATCGAGCCTACTGTTTATGTGATATAAATTCAATTGTCACATGCTCAATACCTTTTGTGATTTGTCATCAGACCCCAATGATAAAACTCTTCACTCAGTACTCTTCGGTTCTTTCGGTAAAGTCACGAAGGTGGAAAAATAAAAAAATTAAACATAATATATCACGACGTTCTGATCGCAACACAAGCGGTCGTCCTCAGGTGGAAAAAGAGAATAATAATCCAGCAGTTCTACTGCTGGATTATTATTATTTTATTATATATAATTTTTCTACCGACGTGACTTTACCGAAAGAACCAAAGAATATGGATTCCTGCAGTCACGAAAGCCTCAAATCAAGATCTTCACTCAGTCATACTTCATTTCTCACTATGATTTGTTACCTCTGAACCCTAACCATACACGAGTTCAGCTCATGTCAGAGAAATAAAGTACAATAACTCTGTCGTGTCTTCAAGAAGCTTCACTGAATTTCAAAACTTTATCAATAGGGATGTTGGATATGTTTAGCCAGTTTTTCAATGAGCATTTTGGAAGCGAGAGGAAACAACCTGAAAAAAACTTGTGCATCACAATGTAAATCACAAACCACACAGACCACTTAAGAGTCCACTCACAACACTGGCATCTCCTGACCACCTCAAAGCCGTGGAGAATTGAGTTTCACACGGGGTATGTACCCACCAGACGTGAGTGGAGCGATTGCTGCTTCCTCACTTTCACAGAAAGTAATAACTCTGGCATTATTAAGCACAATATCATGTGTTGATAAAATAATAGTAAGTTCGACAAGATGTCTACTCAATATTTAAAAAGTACAGGGTGTTAATACAGATATCCACGAATAAAGTATATACAGTAAAACCGTGGATTGCAAGCATAATTCGTTCCGGAAACGTGTTTGTAATCCAAAGCACTCGTATATCAGTTGTGATCACGTGACGCTCGGCAGACAAAGCGTATACACGTACTACTCGTATTGCAAGACCTCGCTCGTTTATCAAATTAATATCTATTTAACATTTTTGCTCGTCTTGCAAAACACTCGCAGACCAAGTTACTCGCAATCCAAGGTTTAACTGTAGAGCCATTTGAGCAAGGTCAATGCACCTATTACACACACCTGGTAGTACGAATTTATCACGTGTTTTTGTAAACCTCCATATGCCCACCATGATTCTGGTGACAAACATCTCGGGTGTCTATATTTTGACTGCTTATCTCACCTGCTGAAAGTAATTTAAGTTTTCAGTTGAAAACGTGTCTATACAAAGCTCTTATCCGTGATTTGGATTAACCATATTGTGGATCCTATTCTGTAGGTTTATCCACGGTTTTACATTCATCAGTGGAGTAAAACCACCGATAACCCACGAAAATTCTGAATTTTCCAGACCCTCATGTCTTTGTGTTTCCCTGTCATTGCATGTGTTGTCTCATGGTCAAAGAAAGTGCTGCAAGTACACTTTCTTTTATCAATGCATTTTGTTATAAACACATTTTGTGGCTAATCTGTGAATATAGCATTTGCCACACGAATCCTCTTATCCACAAAAAAGCACGAATAGGATAACAGGAATACAGCCCACGGATAATAGGAGTTTTTGCAATACCTACAGCTGCCGTGGACAAATGGAGTCGCAGACAATAGGGCCACGGATAAGACTATATTCCATGTAATGAAAATAATACCAACATGACACATGCAGTTCAAACTAGTGTAACTATAAATCCTTAACCATGGATAATACATTTATAGACAACCTATAAAACAAGCAAATAAGACAGGCTTTTGACTAATCAAAGTTAAATGTCATGTTTAAGCGTTTCACACATTGAACGCTTCTGAAGGCACTCTCGCTCAATGGAATACGTGGATCCCAGCTCCCTTGCCAAAACTGATAAGGCACCTTTCCCTGTTATGAAATTATCAAAATGAATCAAATTGGCAAAAGACCAGTCATACATATTCAATGCCAAATGATATATAAAGTACTATTACAAACCATGTATTGCCTCATTCTTTCATAAAGATCTACTCTCCAGAGAAACTTCTCCCATCTTCTAAGCTTGAGATGAGCAGTTTTATGTTGGGTGGGTGGCAGCCATTTCTTCTGGCATCTGCTTGAGATGGTCCCCCAGTTTCTGAGAATGTTCCATCCAAGAGCACTGAAAAGAATGCATCAGTTAGTCACTACATAATGAGATAGAAAACAAAGTATATTAACGTCAATGTGAAGCAGTTGAAATGTTATCCAAACCCTACAAATATTATAGAACTTCAATATTGAATTGTATTACTTGGGAGCTCCGTTTTCAATTTATAATGAAATCATTTTATTATTCCGCATGTTTAACCAGGAGCGCTTCATTGAGTCTCGACTCTTTTGAGGAACGTAACATCCAAAGTGTAATTTGGGGCAATGTTGCAATTTTGTTATCCCAATTAAATAATTTGCACATAATTTTTCAGCATTCGGATGTTTGTCTAATACAGGTATGGGAGGAAACCAGAGAACCCAGAGGAAATCCACACAGAACAGGGGGAGACCATACAAACTCTATACAAAAAGGTGCCGAGTTGGGAATCAAACCAAGGAACTTCTTGTTATGAGATACCCTGCTGTGATGAGGTGCAGAGCTGTTGCCACAGTTAACACACTATACTATGAAATCGACTACCCGATTCCTTTTCCCAGGCCAGGGATAACATTGGTGGCAAGTTATATATAAATTTGTCTTGCGTGCCACCTTTACCAACCATTGTAGAAATATGGTCAAACAATCCCCATGACCGACAAGATGTAAATAGGCTTTCATCTAATAGTGCAGTAACAAAGTGCCGTACATGATTTATTATTAGATTTTAAAAACAAGATATGTCTCCTGGTTTGTCTTGGTTCGGATGAGGCAGTGAGTCATCCGGGCTGCCTGCCTGGCTGAGGACAGCACTGACCATAATCTTGTTGACGTGGAGCAAGCTCTCCTGGTACTCCGTCAACACTGCCAGGTTGGCCTGGAGACGCTTCAGCTCCTTTTTAAAGTCCATCATTGCAGACTTGAACTCTGAAAAAGAGCACAGCCCAGCAATACTCGTATTAAAATAGCGTTGATTTTACAATTGCACCAGTAATTCCAACCTCAAGAGTTCAGCCGAGCACATGGAAATGGTGAGATGGCTTGGTGAGTGCAGTTTGAAAATGTTATAGGATAACATAAATGTTCTCATATAGAGCTTTTGTATTAGGTCTTTTAATCAGAAGAACAGAGTACATATAATAAATGCTATTGCAGTGCGAGGCTAGTTATAGCTATCCAGTATATCAATGTAAACTGTAGAGTACATTTGAGATTATGATATGGGACTAATGAGCATGCTGGATCAGCCTGGGTGGTGTTGTGGATACAATACACCAGAGGTGTGGACTCGAGTCATGTGACTTGGACTCGAGTCAGACTCGAGTCATGAATTTGATGACTTGAGACTCGACTTGGACTTGCATAACAATGACTTTGTCCCACCTCTGAGGTGTGGACTCGAGTCATGTGACTTGGACTCGAGTCAGACTCGAGTCATGAATTTGATGACTTGAGACTCGACTTGGACTTGCATAACAATGACTTTGTCCCACCTCTGCAATACACAGCTTATATCTTCATCAATACATAGCAACATCACCTCTGACCAAAGTTTGGCAGGACCCTTCTTAAAGTCATGCCGCATTTGTCAGAGGTTTTCCTGGGTATATAAGCCTAATAAATATAAATAATACATCGGGCCAATTCTATTCCTGTGCATGGCAATATGTTCAGGGGGTAAATAACAATGCTGAGGTCTGCTTGCCACGAGAGGGGTTCAGGAAAGATTTCGTGGTTTTGCCATTCCTCTGAAGGAACGTAGACTACACAATGCTTTACTGTATTCTCCAAAGTTTAGTTTGCATGGCCACAATCGCACTGTGGCTTGTCTTTAATTGTATATTTATGAAGATGTGAGCATCGGCCATTTGATGATCTGATACAATCGACTCTTTTTCGAGGAATGTCAGTCAGGTGCGACGTTTGGGTCTTGAATTAGGTGTGCAACTGTGGTCTCCTGGATGTCTACGTTTTCACACTGTTCACCAGATTTATTCCGCATCTGGGTGAGATTCTAGGATGGCGATGGTGCGAACCCAGAAAGGGGATCCGGTATAGAGTGGGCAGCGAGGCACAAGGTTGATATCTTAGTTAATGTAATTGGCAAGACATGTAATTGTAGTTTTCACATCTGTGTAGAAATGTATTGGCAGAATATTCGCGAGAACAATGAGCCAGGGGGGTTGGTGTCAGCTTCAGCGTTCTGGTTATTAAATTTGGAATCTAATCGTTTATTGTACACGCGCTCGCATCACGCTATAGCACAAGTACCCTGCCAGAGTAGATTAGCGAGAGGGCTGCAGTTCGCAGCACATGGTGGAAGGTCAACAGTGGTTGTGCTACGGATGATTTCGCCACCGCCATAGGAATGCGGTTGTCCACTCCTGGCTCAAGGCTGTGAATGAGAAAGAGCGCCTCCCCACGGCCGCTTGACCAGGAGACCAGAGTTGCACACCTCCACACAAGTCATTCAAATACAGCGATCCCCCGTGTAGCCTGTTGGGGCAAGTGCTGTTAGCGAGCACCTATAAAAGCGGGCCCGGCACACGAGGGGGTGGGTGGCCAGCACCACGCCCGACCGCCTTTGTATCCCTAGTGGCGATGTTTACACACCGCATCAGGTATTTATTTTAGACCGAGTCGACCTAAGGGAGGTCCAGGAGTGGTTCAGATAATCGTCACCGGTGAGCGGGAATCGAACTCGGGTCGCCGGGTTCGTAGCGCAGCGTGCAAACCACTACACTACCGCTCCCCACAACTCATTCGCACACGTGCCGGTCACTCACACGTGTAGTCACTCACTCACTCACACGTGCGGTCACTCACACGTGTGGTCACTCACTCACTCGTGTGGCCACTCACTCACATGGTCACTCACTCACTCGTGTGGTCACTCACTCACACGTGTAGTCACTCACTCACACTCGTGTGGTCACTCACTCACACACTCGTGTGGTCACTCACTCACACACTCGTGTGGTCACTCACTCACACACTCGTGTGGTCACTCACTCACACGTGTGGTCACTCACTCACTCGTGCGGTCACTCACTCACACGTGTGGTCACTCACTCACTCGTGTGGTCACTCACTCACACGTGTAGTCACTCACTCACACGTGCGGTCACTCACTCACGTGTCCACTCACACGTGTGGTCACTCACTCGTATGGTCACTCACACGTGTGGTCACTCACTCACTCGTGTGTCCACTCACACGTGTGGTCACTCACACGTGTAGCCATTCACAGACGCCCAGGTTACATTGCTAGGAGCTTATACGAGGGGTTGATCATGCCAGACGTGAGGCATTTCTGTGCGGCTAAGCTACTCCACACCAGGTAGACAGGTGCCATATGAAAGGGGGACCCCGTGGCGTTACAGAAAGTAACACACACCGAAGCTTTGCGAGAGACAACGAAACGCAAACATTGAGCGCCTGACAGTGACCGCACGGACTGAAGCAGACATATTTAGACCTACACAACAGTCTCGATGCGCCACTAAGTGGCGATGACGTGACCACGACGCCTGTGCCAGGCCAGGTGCACTCCGAGGCCACGTGAAGTGTCGAAGGCTCGCCGACAGGTCACGGGATATAACCAGGTGCGCTATGGGGCCGATCGACCGAGATGACTGGCAGCTGCTTGCGCAAAACTTGCAGCATTTTAACCGCCCGGCGCTGCGCTCGTTGTTGTGTGCCTCGCTCCTCTGCCCCTCCGTACACACACACAAGGCCTGACAAGCAAATCCAACCCCCCTTCTCGTGGAGAGCCCTGAGCGCGGAGCCTCGCCTTGCACGGCTCACCCGCCACGCAATGCGCAGGGCCGCCCATCTCCGCCCCGGTCGCAGCCTGCGCCATGGCCTCGCCTCCACTGCTGCCGCCGGCCTTATTCTCCCGCCAATTTATATTTATATTTGGCGGGAAAAGAGGGGTGACGTCACGCAGCGAACACTCCACCTGATTGGCTCTCGGCGGTGGGGGGGTGACGGTGACGTCGTCGCCGCCGCCAAACGATCCGCGGAATCGACTCGCTGCGTAAATTCGGAGCGAATCGAGTTCCACGCCCCCGGTCGCGACTTTAAGCCAATCAGAAAACATCGATTCCAAAAGTTGTGCGATTCGATTCATCAGTGTCGCTGAGACCCGGAATCGATTCGGTTCACGAGAGACACGCGGGGCGGGGGGGTTGTAGGTCGGGTGGGGGGTGTGGGGGGGGTTTCGGACCATTGTGATTGGTGCAGACGGAGGGCGGGAGTCGCCAGTTCTCTTTTCTTATTTGTCAACACCGGGGGGCGTGATCGTCGCTGATTGGTTGGCGCCACGTCCTTGCAGAACTCCCGAGGCCCCCTCGCCGTACTCATTGGTTGACGGCGCCGATGCGCCCGACCAATCGACGACGTCCAAAGCTGTAAACGCCGGGCGCTCGCGCGTGACGTCATTATCCCTCCGTCACCCGCCCGCCATCTTGCGTAGGGCAACGCGTCCCTCGCGTTGCGGTGCGATTCGTGAGATCGCGGTCGTACCTCAATGACATCACCGACACGAATCTCGTATCAATCGCAGAGACTTTCCTCTTGACCAAGATGGCGGGTAGAGGTACACCACCTCCCACCCCTCTGTCACGGCGCGCGTGTGTGTATATGTGTGTGTGAGAGAGAGAAAGAAAGTGGAGGGTCGGCCGTGCTGGAGGAGTCATGTTGCTGCTGCGCGCTCTCAAGCTGGCCCCCCGGTTGGGCGCGTCGCGGGCCGCGTGGCCGCGTCTCTACCATGGCGACGTGGTGGCCACGATCGGGTCCGCGCCAGACACGACGTCAGCCACTTACCAGGCGAGCCTCACTGATACGGTCACCATTGAGAGAGTCCCAATGACACGATCGCCACCATGATGTCCTTATTGACACGGTCTCTGTGAAGATGTCCTCACTGACATGGTCTCTGTGAAGATGTCCTCACTGATACATCTGTGAAGATGTTCCTCACTGACATGGTTTCTGTGAAGATGTTCCTCACTGACATGGTCTCTGTGGAGATGTCCTCACTGACATGGTCTCTGTGGAGATGTCCTGACTGACATGGTCTGTCTGGAGATGTCCTCACTGACATGGTCTCTGTGGAGATGTCCTCACTGACATGGTCTCTGTGGAGATGTCCTGACTGACATGGTCTCTCTGGAGATGTCCTCACTGACATGGTCTGTCTGGAGATGTCCTGACTGACTTGGTCTCTGTGGAGATGTCCTCACTGACATGTTTTCTGTGGAGATGCCCTCACTGATATGGTCTCTGTGGAGATGTCCTGACTGACTTGGTCTCTGTGGAGATGTCCTCACTGACATGGTCTCTGTGGAGATGTCCTCACTGACATGGTCTCTGTGGAGATGTTCCTCACTGACATGGTCTCTGTGGAGATGTTCCTCACTGACATGGTCTCTGTGGAGATGTCCTCACTGACACTGTCACTGGAGATGTCCTCACTGACATGGTCTCTGTGGAGATGTCCTCACTGACATGGTCTCTGTGGAGATGTCCTCACTGACATGGTCTCTGTGGAGATGTCCTCACTGACATGGTCTCTGTGGAGATGTCCTCACTGACATGGTCTCTGTGGAGGTGTTTCTCACTGACATGGTCTGTCTGGAGATGTCCTCACTGACATGGTCTCTGTGGAGATGTCCTGACTGACATGGTCTGTCTGGAGATGTCCTCACTGACATGGTCTCTGTGGAGATGTCCTCACTAACATGGTCTCTGTGGAGATGTCCTGACTGACATGGTCTCTCTGGAGATGTCCTCACTGACATGGTCTGTCTGGAGATGTCCTGACTGACTTGGTCTCTGTGGAGATGTCCTCACTGACATGGTTTCTGTGGAGATGCCCTCACTGATATGGTCTCTGTGGAGATGTCCTGACTGACTTGGTCTCTGTGGAGATGTCCTCACTGACATGGTCTCTGTGGAGATGTCCTCACTGACATGGTCTCTGTGGAGATGTTCCTCACTGACATGGTCTCTGTGGAGATGTTCCTCACTGACATGGTCTCTGTGGAGATGTCCTCACTGACACTGTCACTGGAGATGTCCTCACTGACATGGTCTCTGTGGAGATGTCCTCACTGACATGGTCTCTGTGGAGATGTCCTCACTGACATGGTCTCTGTGGAGATGTCCTCACTGACATGGTCTCTGTGGAGGTGTTTCTCACTGACATGGTCTGTCTGGAGATGTCCTCACTGACATGGTCTCTGTGGAGATGTCCTGACTGACATGGTCTGTCTGGAGATGTCCTCACTGACATGGTCTCTGTGGAGATGTCCTCACTAGCATGGTCTCTGTGGAGATGTCCTGACTGACATGGTCTCTCTGGAGATGTCCTCACTGACATGGTCTGTCTGGAGATGTCCTGACTGACTTGGTCTCTGTGGAGATGTCCTCACTGACATGGTTTCTGTGGAGATGCCCTCACTGATATGGTCTCTGTGGAGATGTCCTGACTGACTTGGTCTCTGTGGAGATGTCCTCACTGACATGGTCTCTGTGGAGATGTCCTCACTGACATGGTCTCTGTGGAGATGTTCCTCACTGACATGGTCTCTGTGGAGATGTTCCTCACTGACATGGTCTCTGTGGAGATGTCCTCACTGACACTGTCACTGGAGATGTCCTCACTGACATGGTCTCTGTGGAGATGTCCTCACTGACATGGTCTCTGTGGAGATGTCCTCACTGACATGGTCTCTGTGGAGATGTCCTCACTGACATGGTCTCTGTGGAGGTGTTTCTCACTGACATGGTCTGTCTGGAGATGTCCTCACTGACATGGTCTCTGTGGAGATGTCCTGACTGACATGGTCTGTCTGGAGATGTCCTCACTGACATGGTCTCTGTGGAGATGTCCTCACTAACATGGTCTCTGTGGAGATGTCCTGACTGACATGGTCTCTCTGGAGATGTCCTCACTGACATGGTCTGTCTGGAGATGTCCTGACTGACTTGGTCTCTGTGGAGATGTCCTCACTGACATGGTTTCTGTGGAGATGCCCTCACTGATATGGTCTCTGTGGAGATGTCCTGACTGACTTGGTCTCTGTGGAGATGTCCTCACTGACATGGTCTCTGTGGAGATGTCCTCACTGACATGGTCTCTGTGGAGATGTTCCTCACTGACATGGTCTCTGTGGAGATGTTCCTCACTGACATGGTCTCTGTGGAGATGTCCTCACTGACACTGTCACTGGAGATGTCCTCACTGACATGGTCTCTGTGGAGATGTCCTCACTGACATGGTCTCTGTGGAGATGTCCTCACTGGCATGGTCTCTGTGGAGATGTCCTCACTGACATGGTCTCTGTGGAGATGTCCTCACTGACATGGTCTCTGTGGAGGTGTTTCTCACTGACATGGTCTGTCTGGAGATGTCCTCACTGACATGGTCTCTGTGGAGATGTCCTGACTGACATGGTCTGTCTGGAGATGTCCTCACTGACATGGTCTCTGTGGAGATGTCCTCACTAACATGGTCTCTGTGGAGATGTCCTGACTGACATGGTCTCTCTGGAGATGTCCTCACTGACATGGTCTGTCTGGAGATGTCCTGACTGACTTGGTCTCTGTGGAGATGTCCTCACTCACATGGTTTCTGTGGAGATGCCCTCACTGATATGGTCTCTGTGGAGATGTCCTGACTGACTTGGTCTCTGTGGAGATGTCCTCACTGACATGGTCTCTGTGGAGATGTCCTCACTGACATGGTCTCTGTGGAGATGTTCCTCACTGACATGGTCTCTGTGGAGATGTTCCTCACTGACATGGTCTCTGTGGAGATGTCCTCACTGACACTGTCACTGGAGATGTCCTCACTGACATGGTCTCTGTGGAGATGTCCTCACTGACATGGTCTCTGTGGAGATGTCCTCACTGACATGGTCTCTGTGGAGATGTCCTCACTGACATGGTCTCTGTGGAGATGTCCTCACTGACATGGTCTCTGTGGAGGTGTTTCTCACTGACATGGTCTGTCTGGAGATGTCCTCACTGACATGGTCTCTGTGGAGATGTCCTCACTGACATGGTCTCTGTGGAGATGTCCTCACTGACATGGTCTGTCTGGAGATGTTCCTCACTGACATGGTCTCTGTGGAGATGTCCTCATTGACGCTGTCTCTGTTGAAATGTCCTCACTGACACCGTCTCTGTGGAGATGTTCTCACTGATACAGTCTCCATTAAGATGTTCTCAATGACATGGTCTCCATTAAAAAGGTTCTCACTGACACGGTTTCCATTTACACATACCTTCTTCATGACCATGTTAGCATAAAGAGATTTGAGTGATTTTCAATCAATCTTGACTTAAAGCTTTCGTGACTGCAGGAATTCATATTATTAGGGTCTTTCGGTAAAGTCACGTGGAACAAAACAAAATTAACAAAAAACTACGACGTTTCGATCGCAACACAAGTTATCGTCATCAGTACATAAAATTGGTGATCTGATCCCATCTGCAAAGGATGTGATCCCTGAAATGCAATATCCCGGCGTCTACAATCTAAGCTGTGTCTGCGGCAGTAGTTACATTGGGGAAACTAAGCGACATGTCTCGGACCGTGTTCGTGAACATAAGGCAGATCTGAAACACGGTAGGACCAATACCTCGGCCGTAGCTGATCATTGTTTTAATGTGGTGGGCTCACACGAAATTGATTTCTCGAAGACGAAGGTACTTTGCAAACCCACTGGCTATCAGCAAAGATTCGTTCTTGAAGCCAACCAGATATATAGACACAGACACAATTTCAACCGAGAAGATGGGTACAAACTGAGCAATCATTGGAAGGACGTTATTAACCAGTTTAAGTCATAACTGGCTGTGATGTTTCCATCCTACCTTCCGATGTTAGTTGTTATTTTCGACTCTCTGATTTTACTTTAACAGGTTAAATGTCTCACACTAACACAGCCACCATCGCTCACGTTCTCGAGGTGGCGGCGGCTCTACGATCTCACATTAGCATGCTAATCCTCCTGATGACGATTGCTTGTGTTGCGATCGAAACGTAGTTTTTTGTAAAAAAAAATTGTTCTACATGCCTTAAACGAAAGACCCAAAGAATATAGTTTTAAGTAGTTTACATGTATTAATAAACTATGAAGTATTTCACTGAAAGCGTTGTATGCATTGTCGCTGGTCTGTAAAGAGAAGCTCACACTGATGTAATCCCTAAATACATATTCTTGATTTATGTAAGATCTATTGAGATGTTCCCACAGAGGTCAACTTTTAGTTAATTACAGACCTGCTCCAAAATGAGAAGTTCACACCGACCTGCAATGCAGTCTGTCCACCTTTATTCGTACAGTGAGCAGCTGCCACTGTGTTGTTACTGACCTTTACAATGTCGTTCTAGTTAATGCACTGCATTGGAATGGTACGCATTTCACTGATCTTCGCGCGCTTCCTTTCATACATGCTGTGCATCACTGGACGCTGCTAATACTGCACTGCCATCTGCTGGTTCAAACCAAAGACTGCCAGCCAAGTCGTGAATTGCAAAAATCTGCGATAAAGCTACATCATGAGACCTCCTTTGCCAGTACCAAAATATGAGAGTAGGTTTTCCCCTTTTTCTGGCAACAAACAGGTGTTAAGATGTTAAAACACCAAACTGAAACCTCTTACAAGGAATCATGCCTGCATTAACCACAATACTTGTGGTCAGAATGCAAACAAAAAACATACTCTGATAATATATTCATTGTCTGTGAAACTAATTGGTCCACACCAGAGACAGCTTTCTATTGAGCAGAGTCTCAAAACGGTGTTAGACTGTAATATGTGTGCATGCATTTTTTGTATAGAAACTTCAGTGTCTCCTGGTTTCTGTGAGTATGGTGCATTGAGCCAGAGGTGGAAATTCTACATTTCTATAGTAGCGGTCAGTCTATAAATACATATTTTACAGTCCAGTATATGTGGGAATGTGATATGAATGATAAATAGCCAAGCAACAATTTATTGATTAAATACATTTTGACTCTTGCAATGTATCAAATCATGCTCATAAGAAGCACTTATTTTACAATGTATTCAATACAAGACACCATATAAGCAAGATTATAACAAACAAGACATATAATTTAATCAATTGCTACCCGACATTATTACAATTTACGATATTGCAGTTGATAAAATTGTTACAGCTGTTACACACGAATGCTCGCATATACACTTGCTTGCTTGACAGCCATCACATACATTGGAATGCCTGTTATCAGCAAGAGTCAGATTGGACCCCATGGGTAATTATGAAATTATATTTATCCTGTTATCTGCAAAAGTTACTCCTTTATCCGTGATAAAAACTCTCAATAATTGTGGATAATGCGATTAATTTAGAGCATGGTGCATTGCCTTCATTGTCATCGTCATTGTCTTCAAACATTGTTAAACCTGCAGATAATCGAAGTTGTGGATGAGAAGACCATGGTGTAAGAGGAGTTCTGCCATATTTTATTCCGATTGAATGCACAGAAATTGTATTTAAATGGAATTTAATTTCTGGATGATATGTTCCTTTTTGTTTTGTGATGTTTTCTTTAGGAAAATTATGAAAATATGCAATCCTTGGTAACGGAGATGAAGGAGAGAGTTGAGAAAGTAAAGCAAGGTATGCGTACAGCTGCAATTCATTATTTTAGCCAACATTTAATTCCATATTGCAGTTGTTTCAGTGGAGAAGAACACATGGCATATATATATTGTAATTGAAGCTTGTGTTTACGGAAAAAATAAATTTTAATTAAACTGAAAATAATAATGTAATAACAATATAAACAGGAAAGAAGAAGTAAAAAAAATAACACAACCAAAAAGGAATTTTTTTGAAATGTAATGAAAAATATATACATTGTTAATCTTAAATAGATACATAAATGCACTTGTCATTTCTTGGCCAGAATTAAATGTATTAAATCCTTCGAAGAATGGGCATTCTGGATTAGCGTATCATAGCGTATGTTTAAAAATGTCATATCCTGGACCAGTTTTACAGCACTGAGTCTAATCAGCAATTTGTGGACTGTGAAAGACTCAGCTCTTGTCTTTAAAGCATACAACTTTATTCAGGGTCCATTAATAGTCATACAATTTTGGGTAAGTTTTCTTGAATATGTTACAACCATGAAATACTGTACTTTGTGACAGTTTGTTGTGAAAAGCACTGTATATATTAAAATATTAATATTCACGTTTACACACTACTTATTATACAACGTAAGTAATATATATGCGTTTTTTAATTTCTTAAAATGTTGTTTACATTTTTAGTATTCCATTTTTAAGTTCAAAATTTGTATGTTTCATATATAAACCATTCTTGCTATACTTGCATATGTCACTTCTTTTCTCAAACTCAGTTATTAGAAAATATTTCCGTTCTCTCTGGATCAAAAGTTGCACTTTTTCCCTGTATTTTAAAGCAAATTTTGATGGTGCGTTTTATAAATCCACTAGGTGTGTTGTCTGTCCAGATTTGTAGAACATTATTACCAATAAGCAAAATTTTTCTGTGTGTCCTACTTTATAATCTGAATAATATGGTAATAATTACCCACTAATATGATTTGGTTGCTTGGCCATGTGAATTGTGAAAGAGCATATCTCCCCATACATTTGGCATGGTCCAGAACGATGTAATCGAATAACAGACCCTGTTGTTACGTCAGCGCATGTTGAATCAATGAGTAAAAAGAGATTCAGTGAACATTGCACACCATTTGCCTGTTCAATAAATGGTAGTATTTAGGTTCGAGTGTGTTTTAATTAAATTAACCTCATGACGCTGTGCTTGTGTAACGTTATCTAGGTGGGGGAGAGAAGGCCCGAGCGCTGCACACATCTCGTGGGAAACTGCTGCCTCGCGAGAGGATAGACAAACTCCTCGACCCAGGGTGAAAGGGCATGGGAGAGATCACACCAGCACACTTAACACACCTTCATGTCGGGATATGCAAGACAACGTCGTCAAGTTATTTATTGATGAACAGTTAGAGATGTGACGATGCTTCGATTTAAAATCGATTCTTAACTTTTAGATACCTTTATTGCTTTATGCATTTAAGAATAGATTGTCACTTTGTATGTGTAATGAATGCATATGACCTCTACAACCACTAGAGGCACTACAATTTATAAACAGTGTTATGTATAATAATTGATTTATGATTCGAATTTTGACCTCAAATTGTGAAACTTCACCAAACTGCAAGGGGAGCACATTATTACAGACCTAAAATAAAATATTTTGGGAGTTGTGGTTTTGTGAATGATCATATCTGTAAAATAATGAGAAAACTCTATTATGACAGAATGATAATGCAGGCCTGAAGCCCATGAGTTTAAGATACCACGCAAAATTGTGTAGAAAACTCACAGCCTTTCTGAATTATGCAAATCAATCAGCAGGTCCTGGTTAAGTGCATTGTCATTCTCCTGTCTTAGGTCCCCCAACAGTATAAATTTTAGTAAATGTGACCAACCTTTTATCGTCATTTATAGGTTTAAATATTGTTGGCATGAGCCAAGCTAATTGGGTCCATAGCGTGGGAATTGGGACTCGATATATATGGTTCCCAGAGGCAGACTTTGCAAGAGTGAGCATTGGTTACTATATTGTACAGATGAGTCTTAATGAGTACGAAATTGGTCTACTGGTATATATCTGTATCACAACTGTCTGTTGTATGGTCACGTTTATGTAAATGTATTTAGATGGTGTCCTCAGACAATTGGACTACAATGTACTTATTTAGGAACTGCTAACGATTTTCGAATAAAGGATGATTGTTCTTCAGAAGTTTCATATGGTTTTAAACCAACGTTTGATTTGTGGTGGTAGAAATACACTTTTAGAAAGTATTTGTGCAAACCTACTCACTTTCCCTACCAGAGACCGATATTAGTAGGAATTTTCTGAAGCTACCTCACTAAATCTTGATTTGAAGCTTTCGTGACTGCAGGAATCCATACTCTTTGGTTCTTTCGGTAAAGTCACGTAGGTATAAAATAAAATAAAACAGATCACGACGTTTCGGGCGCAACACAAGCGTCCGTCATCAGGTGGGAAAGCACTAAGTGTACGTGACCCATCTCTTTCCCCATTCTCCTACCCTCATGACTCCATTGCAAAATACCATAAATTAATATCAAACCTCAGGTTTGTCTTTGCCAGTAAATTCGCTCTAGATGACAAGGGCCAATCACCACCCACATTGCCACCCATGGCTCGCCAAAGGTGGCACTGGGCTGGCACTGCTGAGATTTTGGGTTGAAATCCAGGTAGGTGACTTATTAAATCAGGTGATCAATTTTAATGAGTCGATAGTCTGGTGACCAATTACTGCAAAGAAAAAAAACTACATTAAATGCTGCATTTATTGTGAATACATTCTACCTCTGAGAATAACAATATAAATTTAACTCTAGATTTGAAGTTTTCGTGACGGTAAGGATTCATATTCTTTGGACGCTTGTGTTGCACCCGAAACGTTGTGATTTAATTTATTTTAATTTTTTACCTACGTGACTTTACCGAAAAAACCAAAGAGTATAAATTTAACTGTCATGCGACAAACGTTTTTGTCGGTGGCAGAATAGGTGGGGAAAATGCTATTCCCTACTGTATGAACCAGTAGTCTTTTTCAGGGATTAAACACAAAAATTTAGATAAAACTTCCCCAGGTCTGATATTGTTTTCCTAATTGGAATAAAAGGGGGGAAAAGGTAATAAAAATAAATTGTATCAATGCAGTAACTAGTATCTCCATTACCCTGGCAAAGTGAGTTGGTGGATTTATGCTGAGTGTTCTTTTAAGATGTAATACAGTGCTAGAATATGAAAAAAAATTACTCTAGAATTAAATTTGATTCTCTGAGTTTGTATGAATATTTCTGGTAAACTTATAATTAATGCTGCATTGTGTACTTAGTGTTAATACTTATCATTGTTATGGAACTGTGTGAAATTATTGATTAACTCTACCTCCTCCAGATAAGAGACCAGAACTCCCTTTTTCAAAGGGACACCTGAAAATCAGTCAATGGAATCAGATTGTCGATTTTATTTCTACTTTTTATGCCCATATGGAACACTTTAACATTTTAGTTTTAGAAAATTCTTAATTTGCTGAGAGTAGTGATTGAATGTCTCTCCTCCCTTTACACCCTGTGTGATGCAGGTCACCTTTCTTGGAGCTGTCGCAGTTTGCTGGCTATGAGCTCTATGGGGATGAAAACGTACCAGCTGGAGGAATCATTACCGGTGTTGGGCGTGTGTCTGGGTGAGGACCAGCATCACTTACACAGTGTCTGCTTTGGTGATGCATTAGAGCTCATTCCTAATTCTGTTTTAGCCAGAACATACTTATAAAAATAATATACTTCAGGACGTAAGCTTTATTTTTTCAGAAACCACACACAACTTTGTTTCACATCATAATATGAACAAATATACAATATCATCCAAACTCAGTGCCTAAGCCGAAAGTTATCCTTAAGCCTATCCTTAGGACCAACATTAACCTTAGAATGAACCCTATTGCCTGAGGAAATTAAATGCTAATTTCATATACAGTAAAACCTTGGATTGCGAGCATAATTCGTTCCGGAAACGTGTTTGTCATCCAAAGCACTCGTATATCAGTTGTGATCACGTGACGCTCGGCAGACAAAGCGTATACACGTACTACTCGTATTGCAAGACCTCGTTCGTTTATCAAATTAATATCTATTTAACATTTTGATCGTCTTGCAAAACACTCGCAGACCAAGTTACTCGCAATCCAAGGTTTTACTGTATATATGTTAGCTTAAAACAATTACAACAGACAGAAAACCAGGTGTCTGCATGAACAAATATGTTCATGCAGAGATCACTTCTCTATGACTGCACAATTTATTCACAAATGTCTTCTCATATGCACTCATGACCTGATAGTTCAAATCTGAAAGCTGATTTTTTTTTTCAGCTGCAAATGGACTCAAAGCATAGTCTCAATCGTGTTTCCACATAAACATAAAAACATTTGCACTAATGCAATGACTGTACGATAATGAGATATAATGAGATGATTGTGTCTTTAATTGAGACAGTTTTTTTTGTATTTGTTGTGTCTAAATAATGTGCTGTCCTGGTTCTCCGAGGGGTTCCAGGCAATTAGTGTTTATTGCATTTAGGGTTGCGCTATTGATCCAAGAGACTATCTATTTGTGCTGACGTCATTGTGCACCCGCAGTGACAAACACACTGGCATGATCACGTTGATTTATATATTTTCCTCATGCAAGCTTGCTGGAAAACAGGCATTTGCTTAATGCGTGTGTTTTCTTTACTTGTCAATGCACATTCATTCAATTTGGACAGGGTTATATCACTCGAGAGGGGTGTTTTTTTACCCGATAATTAAAATACCTCTCTTGCTTTTTGAAATATTGCATGTTCTTAAAAACAAATAGGCCATAGGCCCTAGAGTCTTACATATAGCAGCTGAACAACCTAGATCTATCTATGCACCAACCGTACGAATGTGGAATTTTCACGACTTAGGATAGCAACTGAGGTATGCACCGCCCAACACTCAGTTGGGCATGACTACACTTTGATGTCAACCATTTGGTATCCAATTATCATAGTGGTGTGGTGGGATAATGGTTGTCACACTCCACAATAAAGCCCAGTCCTGAGTTTGATGCCCAGTTAGAGCTGATATCAGTGATGACTGATATCTGAACCAATCCTTGGCCCTCTTTTTATGATTTTAAAATGACCACTGATGTGATGTATAGTCAAATAACACACATGTCCAATGCAGGGTGGGGAGGCCCTTGTTCTTCAGTGGATAGACAAAGGGCCATATATTTTTTAGTTTATTATATATTTAGGCATGTACCCTTTGTCAGTGAGATGGTGGTTATGTGATGTGTAGAGAGAGATAGAGAGAATGAGATGTATCTTAATTTGTATAGGCTTCGAAAAGCCTTTCATCCACCAGTTTATTGAAAAAGGGCAGAAAATTACAACTTATGATTAAACTATCCACTATTAAGAATATGTTCAGATGTATCATAAAAATAATATATCCCAGGACAAATTGTCATATAAGGAGGAAGATATTACAGATGCTAAGGCAACTCATTTTAGTATGGGTGTTTTTGTGTCCCCAAGTTTTGAGCAACTCTTGATTTAGCCAGAGTTCTAGAGGGTAAGTTCCTTATCGCAACACACATCTACCCTAACGTGTTCTCAATCTTTAAATACCTATGCAAGTATCATTGTGCCACCCTGTTTTAGACAGACAGATGGTCAGAGGTAATGATTAAACACAGACATGGATATTGATTAATACAATGTTACAAATGCTCAAAGGTGCACAAAGAATTATGAAGAGGTACATGCTTGGAACTAAACTGAGACAGATATAGGAACACATTTCTTGAAGAAAATGCGAATTAGGGGCATAAAATCTGAATACAAGTAAATGGGCTCGAGTAGGACACATTGCTAGAGGGGATGTTGGTCAATGAACGAGGTTGATATTAGAATGGCAGACCAAAAATGGAGTGTGCTCGATAGGATGACCAACACAGACAGAGAAAAGCAATTAACACATGTTCAGGACATGGGAAGGCGTTCAACGGTGGATAGATTACAGCTGGTAACAATCAGCAAAAAAATTGTGATCGCTGCAACCATTTTGTTGTAATTGATAATCAAAAATGTCACACATGGCTATAAAAAACAGAACTGGTGGTAGGAGTTTGCTCTCAAAAGGGGACATTTAACAATACCTCGGAGTTTATCACAGTGTTTAATGTAATCGTATTCTTGTATTAGGACACTTGATTGTTCGTAATCAATACACATCATCAATAAAGATTAATACAGAAAATCCAGGACCCAAGTAATTATAGGTTTTGGGAAATAAATCTGATGAATTGGACATTTCAGTTAATGCCTCTAATAATTCCTGTTTAGGTTAGTCTGAAGCAATCAACTGGATAATTGGTTGTTTTGGGCATGTGCATTTGTCTTCATGGGCTGTGCACACTGACTTGGCCTGTTGCTGACAAATGCATTAACTATTTCCCCCCCTCACACCATCTTAAACCATCCATTAAAATATTCTGTATTGGCTCCATATTGGACTATTGCTGGTAATTGATTTTGGACCAGCTTAAACAAGAGCATTGCTGTTCCATGACACTGCTGCTCATTGAAGAGGCCATAACTTGTTAAGTGTGAGTCAATGATCAGGGCATTGGCAATTCCAAATGTGTTCTGCCTCATGGCAGGTATGGGAGTGTGCGTACACAGTAATTTCCTGATATTGTGTTGAGTTTGGTCACGTGACCAGGAAGTTATGATTTAAGATTATCTAAGCCATGCGGCATTACACAGAGTACAAAATGGAGGCACAAATAGCATCTACGTGAAGACAGGTGCATCTGTTAATTGTGGGACTTTAAGAAGCATTGTCTGTAAGTTCGTTTATGTTCTTATAATACTGGGAATGCTGTTATAATGTTAGGATTGCCATTATAATGCTGTAAATGCCTTTACAATGCCGTTAAATTGTTACGATAAATATGAGGCCTAGTTAACAACGAAGCCTGCCACTTGCATTATTGTGAATGTTAATTGTAGTTGGATAAGTCAAGCCTGACTTGTACCCATGTAACTTTAATGTGATCTTGAGAGCAAGGATGAAGAAGTATCTCATCAACAGTTCAGTGCTATGTGCAGCGCTGTACATTTAGGCTGCAGTATGGTGATTACATGATGTGACCTTATTTAACACAGTAGCTCTTGTGTAGCTATTCAGTGCTAATGTAGGTGCCTGGTCCATCAAGGACCTATTGTTGAGTTTCATGTTATCTAAGACAATGTTATGATGCTCCTCGTGTTCATTCATTGTATCGCTATTGCAAGTGTTAACAGATGCTGTATTTTGTGCTGTGTTTTTCCATCAGTTTTACCTCGTTATATTCAAAATAGCTTTAGTATTGAGTGCTAGACAAACTTTATCCCATTTATGTTTAATTTTATTTGTTTTAGTTTCATGTAGGTGTACCTCATTATTTATCTGATTACTCCGTTTGTCGGGTATTCATATTCATTGAACTGAAATTTTAATTTATCCCAGGAATGCATTGCTGGGTGGAATATGCCTTGTTCACACAATAATAAAGCTTCCCACATTGCAATGTGCGAGCAGAATTTGATCAATTACATTTTTATATAAATGAGTTTATTTAGTAATACTCTTTCATTATTAAAGGGTTTGTAACTCAGTATATACTTTTATGTAACTATGATCATAAGAAAACAATCACTAATATAATGAGCCAAGAATGTCTGTGTTTAACGCTCGTGACGTCACTCCACGTCAAGCAGCCCCCCTCATTAATAATCATGAACAGCTGGGGTCCTCCACATGGACCCCCCCCCCCCAATCATTAATCATCATGAACGGGTGACGTCACTCCGCATGAAGAAGGTGGAGCAGAAACGAAAATTTGTTTACGCAAGATATCTTTCATTTTCACCTTTATGGAAAGTAAAGCGAATAAATAAATCATTAATAAAAAAAAGCCAGAGCCTTGATGTCACGCTCACTCCGTAACGCTATCATTAATAATCATGAGCGGTTGACGTCACTCAACATGGGGGGGGGGGGGGGGCACCCCCTCACAAGAACTTAACCCTCATTAAAAAGTCAGAACCCTCATGCCACGCGAACTCTGTAACCCTGTAACCCTATTGAGACGTAGAAGGAAAAAGGACGTCATGATGAACATGGAATATAACCGTGAAATTTAAAAAAATCTGTTATCGACCTTACAAATGGCACACCAATGGATGCACTGAATATTATTTTACTGTCTGCTTTTCGCTTTAATATGTCAGATTTACTGCAATACACCCATCATTGGACGGGCTATAGGCTAGTGTTAATGTAATATCATCAGGCCCCATGGTGTAAAGTAGTCTCTAATCCTGATCTACTCCATCTTATTGCCCTCTGATTATGTGCTATGAAAAGGGCCATTGCTCGAAATATCACGTGTTTTATATTTTTCCACATAAGGCAGTTTAATTGACAAATGTAGTTTTTAATATGTAGAATAAATAGGTGGATGAAATGAGCCATTCTAAGTCTGTTATCATCTACATGTGGCCACACTGCCTGACTCTGTGAGCTGTATACCAAGGTACACAAGGTGGTCAAGTGGCTGGTTCCATTGCACTGGTTGGCAGTGTAGTTTAGAAGTTCTAAAATCTGCAAGGTGATCCCAGACTTTGCTGCCATTGATGAATGCCCTGGGCCATTTTTGCAGATTTTTCCTGTTTAAAATTACTAATTAACTGCATCTCAATTGAGCCACACGTGAACTGCCCAGGAGAGGCATTTGTGTACTGCTTGAAGATGTGCAGTTTCTTAAAATGCACCTGTGGAAAATAATAACGTGTTAAAAAGTTTCATCTGGTTAGGTTTAAAGATCCACTGGATTCGGTGACATGGGTGTAACGTTAACATCACAAGACATTTTCTATGTTGAACTTTAGAACATATGAGTGCACGTTAAGTGAACTGGCACACAATCGGGGTTAGGGTGGAGTAAAGGAGGTCTGCAGTAATCGTCACACATCACTTGACACACCATATGAGCCAAACATAAAGTTCGACAGATGTGATGTTACTATGTTTTATGGAATATATTTGAAGTTCACTGCACATGCATCAGAGATCCAGTATGAACCACACTAAGACTCTGACCTGGCTTGCAGGGTGGAGTGTGTGGTGGTCGCCAATGACGCCACAGTGAAAGGCGGCACCTACTACCCAGTAACGGTCAAGAAGCACCTGCGTGCCCAGGAGGTGGCACGGGAAAACTTCTTGCCGTGCATCTACCTGGGTGAGCTGAACCAATCATGGGTTTTGTTGTGTTTCAGATTCCTTTTTGTTATGCTTTCCAACTAAGGCTGTTCGTTTATAACATGGGCTCACAATTCTCATAAAGATGATCCAATATCAACAAAACTTGAGTATAAAGTTGCATTACGTTACAAAACTGGTCAAATAGATTAAATGGTTGCTCAAAATTGGGTGAATAAAATTAGTGCTTAAATGATCATTCTTGTCGACTATGCCGAAGACATCACATGCCACTCAACATTGTGGAGTCCGGTTCCAATTTTTTTCGTACAATTTGAAAAATGAACGCATATGTGAAACATTACAGTTATAAGAAAATATTTTCCCAAATTAATCTGGAACATTTCTGCAAAACAACACATAATGCGGCAACTTATAGCTCTGAGAAAGGCCCTCAAAATGCTTTACCTGTCCATCAGCAATGCGAAGGCCATGCCAATACCATGCTTACCAAACTAAACTAAAAATGAAAATATTATTATTTAGAAACTAAACTTTTTATTTTACCAGTTAAGGGCCATTGAGCTACATAGCTTATTTTCAGAAGTGACCTGGTCACAAATCATAGCTCAAAGAAGTGGCTTATCATGTGGAAATTTGTAGCAGCCAAATACTCTAATCACATTTTTCAAATCGTGTAGGAAAAATCCAGAGGACCCGGAGAAAAATCCATGTAACCTCAGGGAGAACATGCGAACTCCAAATATACAGAAGCCAAATATATCTCAATATACCAAAGAGGCTTATGGGTCAGTGGGGATTAGGTATTTGCTTGAGGTTCTTCAGAGTTTCAAAGGTTTTGGTGTGGGGGGGTTAGGGCTATCCTGGATTTAGCCTAAACAGGCACCTTTGGAACAGGAGGTTCATAATGGCAGATTGGAAGTTTCTCTGTTTTAATGTCCTGGGAAGGCACTTCATTCAGACTAGCTATCAATGTTACCCAGAATATCCACAAAGGTCCTAGTAGTATTAGTGGCCCATATAAAAAAAGGACGGTCACGATGTCTACCCTCGTTTGGATGACCTGTTACGGACAGGCTCAAGGAAAGCCTTCGAGAAGACAGCAGAAGGGATAGAAACACTACAAGAGCTCGGTTTCGTACTCAGGCGACCCTAAGTGGACTGGTTCGCATTCAAAGAGAACGCCAAGCTGAAAAACTTTGCATCCAAGTTCCACCAAAAAGGGGCCATAGTGTCGGATGCCATATCATGCCAGTGGTAGGTGGTTGGGGACCCTGGAATACTTCTCCCCAAAGTTCTCGATACAATAGAGAGAGGAGGTCATGGTTTTTGGATCTCCTGAATATGCAAGTGGGCCAGGCGTGGCCGGTGTTGCTGAGGGCAGATCTCGTCGCTTAGCAAGAGGTCTGGCATCAGGTGCTGCAGGCTCTGCCCTTGATGGCCTGAAGGATGAAAGGAAAATATTTGCTCGTCTCAGGCTAAATTAATCTGGTGGCAACGTGTTTTGCAAAAGTCACAGAGACGGTCAATGTGGCAGATTTAGAATGCAAACTAGAAGACTTTCTGAAGTCAGTGTGAAAATAAGGGCCTAAATCTGCATTCTTGTGTCGTGCAAATGGCCGGTTTCCTGGTTGAAGGCGTTGAGAGAGGCCTCTCCTGGGCCGCCCTTAGAGTGTGGTCCTCGGTGATATCAACCTCTCATGAGGTTGTCCGATTGAAGCCTCAAAATGAATTGCTAAATTGTTTAGGGCCATTGATTTATTTTGACAAATTAGTTGATCAGCAGGTAACGTGTGCTGCAGAAAAGTGTCTGTACTCCCGCCTCTTCCAAAATGCCTGGTGGAAGAGTAGGCCAAAACACATAGAGAGGCCCCTTTATAGCTCTCTCCAGCGAAACCGCTTCTTCAAACAGTGGTGTGGGCAAGTTATTGTCAGCATGCAACTTTATCTTTTAAAACCACTACTATGAAGAAAAAAAAAATCACTAACATGCATATACATATTATATAGTGATTAGTTATTTTTCCGACATCTAAATGTAAGTTACAGATAACTAACAGCTTGGGTATCGCACAGTGGTACTGACAATCCTTATTCTCTACAGTGGACTCTGGTGGGGCCAATCTTCCGCGGCAAGCTGATGTGTTCCCAGACCGGGACCACTTTGGCAGAATCTTCTTCAACCAAGCCAACCTTTCATCAGAGGGCATCTCACAGGTACCATCGTAGAAGTTCAACACAATGGGCTGGACATAGTTTAGTCCTGGCAAATCCTTCTGGAGATTCTCCAGTGATTGTTACTGCAGAAATAGTCATTAAACAAATGTCACATTACTTGTGTATGCAAGTTGTGCGCCTTGTTTTATATAAGGCTTGGAGTGGTCCATGCCAGGAAAACAGTGAGAGACAAAAACACATGTATCAGAGAATATGTACAATTAGATAAATATTTTTTTATTTGAGAAAAGTAAGTGGGCTTAGACAGGACACATTGCGAGAAGGGATCAGGGCCGTTGGTCGAGACTTATGATGGAGTAGCAGCCATTGGAAGGAACACACCCAAGAGGATGTCCACCAAAGAGATAGGATGATGAGATCAACTCATGTGTAGGAGTGAGATGGATTGTTGCAACACAAGACCACGAGGGACAACAACAGAGGAGGTGTTCATCCAGCAGTGGATAGATCATGGCAGGTGATGGTGATGAAATTATCCTAGAGGTAATAATTTAAAATTCATCGCTATATAAGTTGAACTGTTTGATTTTTGAAAGAATATACTGCTTACTAATTGGGATTTAACTCTAGCTCTGTTAGCATGATACTAAATGTAATTCGTAAATCCTCATGATGTTAATATCTGGTTTAATGTACACATATATACATTTCCCCTACAGAATCTTTCTTCGCGCTCATAGCTCTCACGTGCTTCTTATCTCATATTCACGTAAAAAAACTCAACACCAAAACAGAAACCCTCCACTCTGCTCACCGAACAGTGGCAGTGTTGTCCATAACAAATTGTGCCCCTTTTATTGCACAAATATTGCATTCAAGCAATGCTTGTTTGTGTTAAGAAAAGTTTTTTTTTCTAAAGGTTTTCGTGATGTTTGTGTTCCGTGCATTTGTGGCATGTTATAATAATCAGATCCCATTAACATCACCCCTGAGTGAGTAAAATATAAATAAATAAAATTACTATTGTCTCAAAACCACTCTTCGAGATGAGCTCTGCCCAGTGCACATGTGAGGACTCACTAGGTTTTAACTGTTTTCATGAGGCCAATTCCATTCATGAGTGTTTGGCGTGTAGGAGGAAACCTAACTACCCGGATGTTTACACCTGACAGGTTGACCACTTATGCAATTAGATCACTCTCAAAGTTGGTCTCCTTGTCCGAATAACCTCACGGGAAAGCTGTACACACAAAACTCATGATCCCAGAGCTTCTTCAGCACCTCCAAGTTCAGTGTTTGTTACACGTACAGTTTTTGGAGTCTTCACTGCTCCATGTCAGTGTCAGACTTCTCTCTTCTCCACGTTAATTCTCTTGTATTCTTGGAGTGAGGGTGTAACAATCCTCATGTTTCCTCTGCTATAAAACATGTCTTTGCTCATGAATAATGAGGCTTATGGGTAGTGTAGGTAGGGCAAGTAGAGTGGCAGGGGTGGACACTATAACAATGTTTTATTTTACCAGGTAAGGCCCACTGAGCTATATAGCTCTTTTTCAGAAGCTACCTGGCCACAAATTATACCTCAATGAATTGGCTTATGTCAAATTTTATAGCAGCTAAATACTCTAATCACATTTTCAAATCGTGGAGGGAAAAACCCAGAGAAAAAATCCACACGACCATGTGGAGAACATGCAAACTCAAAATATACAGCAGGCGTCAGGGTTGGGATCTAATCCACAACCTCCTGCATACCAGCCGAGGTAGTTAACATCTCACCATTGCGCGCCCCAATGGAGCAAGTTTCTTGTATCCCCCCCCTGCCTGCGCACCCAGCAGTTTAATGGGTATACCACAGTCGATCGGCAGGTCGTGTGTGGGAGGTAGAGTGTGGGTTCTTCCACCTCTTCCAATATGCCTGGCCAGCCAAAATACCCTCTAGGGCGTTTCTCTTGAGCTCTGTCCATTGGAGGCCCATCCGTTGGCAGTGGCATGAGCACGCAACTGCAGGACTGCACTGTTAGTCTTAAAAAAAAAAATTCTACCATCGATTGTCACACAGTGGCGCACTTTCCTTTGGAAACAAAGACTAAAATTTCAAAAAATATTTAAAGGCAGCATATGTGCACCACGACTATTTAGAGTTGTAGAAGGTGCAAAGGTTCATTGATGAATTGTAACCAAAAAGAACAAATAATTATTTCACTAAAACAGTGCACAAAGTTCAAGCTTGAAATAGTAAATTGTGCATTTTACAAATTTTACAACATCCATGCCAAATGTATCAAGTAACGAGCATTCTGCTTTATTAAATCTGCTTTGACAATTGAAAACTAATTAAAAACCTTGAATTCGTTTTAATTGCTTTTTGTTAGTCATTCTCTTCTTTTGTATATTACCTTTGCACTGTATATGCTTGCACTTTTTAAATATATTTTTGGAGAATGAGCCACCCACAAGAAATATTCTGTCTTAATCCTAGTTTATATGGCTGATTGTTTCGTACCGTATTTCTCAGTTTCTTTGGAAAGTTTAATTTTTACATTTTTACAACTAAGGTTGAAGGCGTTAATGGATTAGCTATATCCATCTGGACTCATCTCATCAGTGAATGCCCTCTCAGGCGTGTTGGCTGCCATTCCATCATTATTTTCGACCATTGGCCAAGGTGCCACCTCGGCTGGCTGGGCAATCTAGGGGAGGACGGGGGCTCTACACGTTACTAGGCCTAACGACGGCATTCTATCAGGTTAGTAGTTTGTGCTTTAGAGTCGATATATACTGCTATAGAGTCAGTATGTACTACTGTAGTGAAAGCAGGTACCACCACAGTCAGTATGCACTGCTATAGTGATAGCAGGAACCACCACAGTCGGTATGCAATGCTGTAGTAAAAGCAGGTACCACCAAAGTCAGTATGCACTGCTGCAGTGATGGCAGGAACCACCACAGTCAGTATGCACTGCTGTAGTGATAGCAAGTACCACCAAAGTCAGTATGCACTGCTGCAGTGATAGCAGGAACCACCACAGTCAGTATGCACTGCTGTAGCGATAGCAGATACTACCACAGTCGGTATGCACTGCTGTTGCGATAGCGGATACCGCTAGCGAGTTGGCAGATACGACTTTAGAGTTAGTAGATACTAAAACTGTCAGTATATACCACTTCGGTCAGTAAATACTGCTACAGGCAGTAGATACTACTATACAGTAAGTAGATACCAATACGGGCAGAAGCTACTGCTATAGATTCAGTAGATACTGTTATAAAGTTGGTAGTTACTACTATAGTCAGTGGATACTACTATAGAGTCCGCAGATACTACTATAGAGTTAGTAGTTACCACTATAGAGTCGGTAGAGGGTACTGTAGAGCCAGTAGATACTACTACGGTCAGTTGTTACTACGGTCACTAAATACTACTACACAGTCAGTGGCTACTACTGGCTCAGTAGATACTACTGTACAGTCAGTAGATACAACTACAGAGTCAGTAGATACTACTTACTCTGTTGTATCTAGGGTGTGTAGGTATATATACCTACGCTGGCATAAAAATATTTGTTTATGGGAAACCTTTTATATCAACTATTTACCCCCCACTTTCTTTAACTTTTTGGACTTCTGCAAGCCTCTTATAATTTTGTTGATGGAGAAATGGACAAACGGCCCACTGGGCATTCACAATAGCTTAGCATCTGTGTATGTATATGTAATGTTTTAAGATAAGTTTTGCAATATATTTTTCGCCCGGGCAATGCCGGGTACTTCCCGCTAGTGTATAATTTAATTAACTAGAAGGCATCAGTTTCATAATATTTTTATGAATCTGAGAATGTTTGTATTGTTCAGCGTGCTTGTAGAGGTAATTGGATGCAGTTCTAACATTGCTACTGATGTTTCAAGGGATCCCCACATCCTCCCTTAATGAGCAAATTTGTCATTCTGCAAACATATTACATATGTTGTGATAAGAGAGCATAGAGACTGAGGAAATGAAACCCAACTTTTAATTCATCTGCCACATATGCATGCCAAGAGCTGAATACATTTTTGCTATAATTGGCATTATAGTACTTTGATGCATAAACATAATTAAAAGTATACAATTTTATCTATAAAATTCTACCAAGGAAGCATATTGTGTGTGAACATTTCAGATTGCCTGTGGAGAATATGAACACCCATCCTTAGTTTTACAAAAATCTATTGTGCTGTGGAAACAGAGACATGAATGTGCATGGCTGACACGTGCAGGTAATTGCAGATGTATGCATGTGTACAAATGCTACAGAAAACAGCCTATGTGTAAATTGCTGTATTTTATTAAATAATTAATTGTTTGTGAAGGTTTTCAAAAGATTACAGGCAAAGCATTTAGGCCGACGAGGAACAGCACAAACATTGACTCATGAGGATTATAATGCGTAGGAAAATCATGCAATTGATAACTTGTGAAGCTATGGAGAAAGCCATGATGAACACCTTGAAAATATTGTTTGAGAATATCTCTGGAGTACATGCAGCAAAGGTCGCTGAGTGGATTGTACACAAATATATGTAAATATGAGATTGGCCATCCTGTGTTTGTATCACATCAATGAGAGCAGACATTCATCGTGTGATTTCTAAAACACATTCACGACAGTGTGACCAGCCATTTCTTATGATTTGAAATCCTTCCTTCACTTACTTTCAAAACTAATAAACCTTCATAAACAACTAACCCTTGTCTTCGAGAAGGGATCAGACAGTTGTCCAACTTTGAGCTAGGAGCCCAGAAGTAGTAAGGCTCTCCCCTACCCTGTTAAGTCCCAGGGCCCCATTATGCTATGAAATTAGAATCCTGTCACAGCCGTCTGTGGAAAACAAACCCCAATATCAGGGAGCTCTGAAAAGGTACCAGGACATCCCCTAATCTCGGTAGAATGTTTGGCAATGAACATCCTTCCATGTAACCCTGGAGCATCCAAATAAAAGTACAGTAGATCGAAAATTGATTAGCTTAATTCTAAGTATAGAGTGACATTATTAAAGTAATTACATCATTGAACCTCATAAAATGCCAGTCATGGCATTGAACCATATTCCTGTTACCCATTCCTTTATATATGAACATTAGATTGCTGTTCGATCACATGAAAGTATATATGTGTGTGACAGATTGGAAGTCAAAAGTAATCTTGAAGGGCAGTTAACCAAGCACTTGTTGGATTGCCAGTGAAGCCATACCCTCAGACAGGGTGACAACGTCCAGATGCTTGTCATTCAAGTGTATTTGGATTTATGCTGGAGAAAGCTGTTGCAACTTGGAGTGATGTTTGAGGCCAGAAACATGTCCCATTATGATCCCTCGGCAGAACTGTGCTACAAACCCGATGACCCGAGTTCGATACTCACGGCCAACACCAGTGAAAATTATCTGAACCGATCCTGGGCCTCCCCTAGGTCGACCCAGCCTCAAATGAGTACCTGGTGCGGTGAGTAAAGACAAAGGCGGTCAGGCATGGTGTAGACCACCCGCCTCCTCGTGTACCGTGCTAGCCTTAATGAGTGCTTGCTAACAGCACTTTGCCCCAAAAGGTCTAAGGCTATTTGGAGGATCTTTGTTTTTGTTATTAAATTTGTTTGCATGGGAATGTTTGCATGTGCATATGGGAGTTTTGTGTGTGGTTGTGATGTATTTTTATGGAACCATTTTGTGCCGTGCCTACCTTTATAGGTGCTCACTAATTGTTTATTAAAAGTCTATATGGAGGATCATTCTCTTTGTCTATTTATGACAGTCTGTGTGGGGAGAGTATTTGAATGCAGTTGTGCATGCATGTATATGTTGTGTGTGGGACATTCCACGTGGCTAACCTCAGCGTTTTCTTGGTGTTTCTTGAAAAACCCCAAGGGGACGGGTAAAGTTTGGCTGCGCCAAATTGGGTTTTGCCAAAAGGTGTCATAGATGCCTCTCCTCCCCGCAGTCTCCAGCACAAGCTTAATTGGGTGTTCCAACGTGGTTATTGTTATGCATTCGTGATAGGTGGAGGATTTACCAGCCCCTCATATACAATGATCTTACTATATACAACAGCCGCCATTCGTCACTAAGTGGAAGTGAGATCACCACGAAACTTGTGCCAGGCTAGCTGAACTCTGAGGCCACGTGAAGTGTCAAAGGCTCACTGGCAGGAAATCATAGGACAGATCCAGGTGCTATGGGTTGATTGAGATGACTGGCAGATGCATCACCTGTGTCTACACCTGCCATTGAGGCACAGCTACATTGCTATCTTGCTGCATTTTAGCTGCCTGGTACTCTGCTCTTTGTTGTGAGCATCACTCCTTCGCTCGCCAACAGCCTTGCCCGCTGCTGGAGGAGCTCATTGATGATGAGATTGTGTCCAGATCTTTAAAGGATTTGTGAGCTCTTCACAAAATCCAGCCTGGTTAAACCCAGGATTGATCATAGGCAGGCCAGCCTGAATGTGTCTAATTGGTGCAGATGTTCGATTCGAGGGGTCCACATTTTGCAGACATAAGGAAGGGAGGGCATATAGTGCACACCCGTACACTATACTCTATGCTACTATACTTTACCCATCTACCTCCCACTATACAGTCCAGTGGTGTACAATACTTGACATAAAATAACATCTACACATTAATATGCACACGTAAAAAAGGGGTAAAAATGTATAACAAATACTGTATTTAAGAACTTATTGAGTAGCTTGTGGCTGTTGCTGCTCTCTCTGAGGCTTTAAACGACAATTATCATCTTGCCGATTTTAAAAACAACAAAAATCTAATTAAAAAATCTATCCTTAAACTAAAACGAATTTAAATGTTTTAAACCTCGGACCCGTGGATCACGGCCAAGACCACAAAGCAATAGGCCTCAAGCTTCTGCTCACTTAGACTAAAGCCAAGCTAAGCCACTGCCCACTCCCAACTCTACTGAGGAGAATAATAGTTTTTTAACTCAATTAAAATCTAAACTTCCTGCAAGTTTACTCTAAACTCCACCGCGGTGGAGTACAGAATAACCTATACACGACCTCCTCTTATACACGACCTCCCCCTCACCCGCTACCATGTTCAGTGGAATGTCCGAATGCTCATCGTGGAGGAGAGGCTTCCATCCCTCTGTCAGGAGCTGGAAGGCAACACTTTTTTCCCCATAAGGTCCATTATTTATTGAACGTGGTTTTTCCTAACACAGCATTTTCCAAGAACGTAACCCTCGCGTTGGGCAAGGTTTTCCTGAATACCCTGTACCTGATATAATTGGTACATTTTTTCTTCTTCAAAAGTCTTATATTCTTTCTCACGTGATGAAACCATGTTAATTCATAATATCATGTTTATTTCATGCTTGATTGAACGATGTGTGAATTTCGGGTGGTATAGTTTCAATGTCTCCACTGGCTGTCTACCACATGTCCGCACCATGTGGTGTGCACGTGTGCCATGTCACATGCCCTGTTCCGCACATAGTATTTGGGGGTGCTGTGCACTTTTACAGTGTATTGTGCGCCCCTTTCATCTGTCACGGATTGTGCCACATTCCTTGTTAAGAACAATGTGTAACATATTAATGAGCTTGTATGCATGTGTTTGTGTCTGCTATCCATAGATAGCGGTGGTGATGGGGTCATGTACAGCTGGTGGCGCCTACATTCCGTCTATGGCAGATGAGAGCATCATCGTGCGGAAACAGGGCACTATTTTCCTTGGAGGCCCTCCCCTGGTATGTGCATACTCTACATGTTTCATTCAATTGTGAAATTCAAATTTACCATCGCTGCTATCACCATCATCAAGCATATTTTTATTATCACCTTGTGGCAGGTTTAACCAAGAACCATATCTACCGAGTCAGCGCAGTACTTATAACCCAGACAAGCCTTCAGGACATGACAGAGATGGAATCATTACAATAACACTAATTTGTGTTATATTATCTATAAAAAAAAGTCTCAAATTGCGTGTGGGTTTGTGTGTGTTCGCGCGCTTGGCTCTCCAACGGTGGGGTGTACGTAAAATAAAAATAGCCCGGTACCACGCCGTAAGCCCCGCCGTGAGCAAGCGCTATTTCGTTTTCATGTCTGTCAACTTTTAATTAGTTTAATTAGCGATTTCGTGCGATTTTTGCGCGCTCGCAAAATATAAGCAGCCGTCCTCGGGTGAAGAACAGAGCTGTCGGAAAGACAGCATCCTAATGAATACTGCTAAGCTTGGCAGCGTATTTTAAGGTGGGTGGGAGGAGGAGAGCGCCTTGACCAAAGGAGTTTACATATCAACAGGGGAATTTAGCATGTTGATGACAAATGCAGATATGGGGTGAGCAACTCCTTGTGGAATGTGTAGATAATTGTGTAAGCAGGACATCTGTTGGAGCCTTATGTCTTGTGCATATCGTCCACAGAAGGTTCCTGCTTCAGGGAGTTAGGGCAATTATTTTCTTATTCTCAATCCAGCAATGTAATTTGGCGTCTATAAATAGAGTATGGACAAACATGTCACCCCTATAGGAAGCCTGTGGTTGATGTAGTGTTTATATGTACTGTGTGTATCTGCATGCAAACACAAAAGCATTCATCACCTCGGTGGTTTAATAGATCATGCACCACTCTACATGCTCAGCAGGTCAATTCCTGGCCATTCACAATAATAATGGCAATTGGCATCCAAAATTGGTTGGGCTTCCCCTGGGTCAACTTAGCCTTAAATGAGTATCATTATTTGGAAAAATTATCTTCAGCCTGAAGCAAACAACAGAGCTGTGGTGCTTGCCAAACCACCTACAATTGTGCCTTGATGGCCATGTCCTTGACATTCTCAGTGAGTGCATTTGCACCAAAAGTCTATAAGAATTTATAAAGAACTAGCGGAAGTACCCGGCTTTGCCCGGGTGAAAAATATCTTTCTTAAAAACCTTACATATATATACACAGATACTAAGGTATTGTCAAAGCCCGGTGGGCTGTTTGTACATTTTTCCACCAACAAATATATAAGAGGCTTTCACAAGTCCAAAAAGTTGTAGAAAGTGTGGGGTAAATAGTTGATGTCAAAATGTTTCCGAAAATTGTGGTCTCCCCCCCCTCAAAAATATCTTTACCCCTCGTAGGTATATATACTAACAACACCTTACATACAACAGAGGAAGTGGTATCTATTGACTCTGTAGTAGTATCTACTGACTGTACCGTAGTATCTACTGAGCCATGTGTAGCTACTGACTGTGTAGTAGTATTTAGTGACTGTAATAACTACTGACCATAGTAGTATTTACTGGGCCTACAGTAGTATCTACCGACTATATACTCGTAACGACTAACTGTATAGTATCTGCTGACTCTATAGTGTATCCACTGACTATAGTAGTAACTACAAAATCTATAGCAGTATCTACTCACTCTATAATAGTATCTACTGACTCTAGTAGCTACTCACCGTAGCAGTATGTACTGACTGTATAGTAGTATATACTGACTGTAGCAGTATTGACTGACTGTAGTGGTATATACTGACTGTTTTAGTATTTACTATAGCGGTATCTACCAACTCGATAGCAGTATCTACTATCACTACAGCAGTGTATACCGACTGAGGTCGTACCTGCTATCACTACAGCAGTGCATACTGCTGTGTTGGTACCTGTTATGATGACAACAGTGCATATTGTGGTGGAACCTGCTATGATTACAGCAGTGCATACTGCTGTGGTGGTATCTGCTATGATGAGAGGAGTACATATTGTGGTGGTGGTACCTGGTATGATAACAGCAGTGCATATTGACTGTACTCATCATTCACCCTCACCATTCACCACTCACAACTCACCCTTACCACTCATCCTCACCACTCACCACTCCCACTCACTATTCACCATTCACCCTCACAACTCACCACTCACCAACCTCCCTCACCAATCTCCATCACCACCCTCCATCACCACTCACCCTCACCACTAACCCTCACCACTCTCCCTCACCACTCTCCCTCACCACTCACCACTCACTCTCACCATTCACCCTCACCATTCAGCCTCACCACTCACCCTCACCACTCACCGTCACAACCACCACTCACCCTCACCACACAACCTCACCCTCACTACTCACCATTCATCCTCACCAATCACCACTGACCAATCACCACTCACCACTCTCCACTAACCCTCACCACTCAACCTCACCACTCACCCTCAAAACTAACCACTCTCTCACCACTCACCCTCACCACTCAGCACTCACCCTCACCACTCACCCTCACCACTCACGCTCACCACTCACCCCTCACCACTCACCCATCACCACTCACAACCGCCACTCACCCTCACCATTCACCCTCACCACTCACCCTCACAACAACCACTCACCCTCACCGCTCACCACTCACCCTGACCACTCACCACTCATCCTCACCAATCACACCCTCACCAATCACCACTCACCCGCACTGCTCACCCTCACCACTCACCACTCACGCTCACCCTCACCACTCACCCCTCACTACTCACCACTCATCCTCACCACTCACCCTCACCACTCACCCTCACCACTCACCCTCACTACTCACCACTCATCCTCACCACTCACCCTCAACAATCACCACTCACCCTCACCACTCACGCTCACCACTCACCCTCACCACTCACTCTCACCACTCACCCTCACAACAACCACTCACCCTCACTACTCACCTCACCACTCACCACTCATCCTCACCAATCACACCCTCACCAATTACCACTCACCCTCACTGCTCACCCTCACCGCTCACCACTCACCCTCACCACTCAACCTCACCCTCACCCCTCACTAATCACCACTCACAACCGCCACTCACCCTCCCCACTCACCCTCACTACTCACCGCTCATCCTCACCAATCACACCCTCACCAATCACCACTCACCCTCACCACTTGCCACTCACCCTCACCACTCACCACTCACCTTCACCATTCACCCTCACCACTCTCCCTCACCACTCACCAGTCATGCTCACCACTCACCATCACTACTCACCACTCACCCTCAACACTCACCCTCACCGCTCACCACTCACCCTCACTACTCACCCTCACCACTCATCCTCACCAATCACACCCTCACCAATTACCACTCACCCTCACTGCTCACCCTCACCGCTCACCACTCACCCTCACCACTCAACCTCCCCTCACCACTCAACCTCATCCTCACCCCTCACTAATCACCACTCACAACCGCCACTCACCCTCCCCACTCACCCTCACTACTCACCACTCATCCTCACCAATCACACCCTCACCAATCACCACTCACCCTAACCACTTGCCACTCACCCTCACCACTCACCACTCACCCTCACCATTCACCCTCACCACTCTCCCTCACCACTCACCAGTCATGCTCACCACTCACCATCACTACTCACCACTCACCCTCAACACTCACCCTCACCACTCACCCTCACTACTCACCCTCACCACTCATCCTCACCAATCACATCCTCACCAATTACCACTCACCCTCACTGCTCACCCTCACCGCTCACCACTCACCCTCACCATTCAACCTCCCCTCACCACTCAACCTCATCCTCACCCCTCACTAATCACCACTCACAACCGCCACTCACCCTCCCCACTCACCCTCACTACTCACCACTCATCCTCACCAATCACACCCTCAACAATCACCACTCACCCTCACTGCTCACCACTCACCCTCACTACTCACCCTCACCACTCATCCTCACCAATCACACCCTCACCAATCACCACTCACCCTCACCACTTGCCACTCACCCTCACCACTCACCATTCACCCTCACCACTCTCCCTCACCACTCTCCCTCACCACTCACCAGTCATGCTCACCACTCACCATCACTACTCACCACTCACCCTCAACACTCACCCTCACCGCTCACCACTCACCCTCACTACTCACCCTCACCACTCATCCTCACCAATCACACCCTCACCAATTACCACTCACCCTCACTGCTCACCCTCACCGCTCACCACTCACCCTCACCACTCAACCTCCCCTCACCACTCAACCTCATCCTCACCCCTCACTAATCACCACTCACAACCGCCACTCACCCTCCCCACTCACCCTCACTACTCACCACTCATCCTCACCAATCACACCCTCAACAATCACCACTCACCCTCACTGCTCACCACTCACCCTCACTACTCACCCTTACCACTCATCCTCACCAATCACACCCTCACCAATCACCACTCACCCTCACCACTTGCCACTCACCCTCACCACTCACCCTCACCATTCACCCTCACCACTCTCCCTCACCACTCTCCCTCACCACTCACCAGTCATGCTCACCACTCACCATCACTACTCACCACTCACCCTCAACACTCACCCTCACCGCTCACCACTCACCCTCACCAGTCACCCTGACCACTCACCACTCATCCTCACCAATCACACCCTCACCAATCACCACTCACCCTCACTGCTCACCCTCACTGCTCACCCTCACCACTCACCCTCACAACAACCACTCACCCTCACTACCAAAAACTACACATGTGTTAGTCCCTGGGTAGTGTTATTTTCTATACGCTGACATCTCAAAAGTTACAAATTGGAGAAAATTCCTCTCAAACTTAATTTTTTTTGACACGGACAGTGATATTTACAAATGGACCTATTTTGCTAGGAGAAAACGTGTGCATTTGTGTAATTCTTTCCTTTATATAAAGTTCTGGTCACAAAAGCAACATGTATGGGGAATAATAGCCATCTTATATACTTAGGAGGCTTAGGCAATATAAAAATAACACTTTTTACCCAGGGAAAAATCGTGGTGCATAGTGTATATTTACTATCATCAAACATAACTTAATCCCTATATAAGAGTGATACAAAATAGTAAACATAAATATTTAAATGTTTTAACTGAGCTGTGAAGTTGCGTGACTAACCTCGTAGCTTTTCGACGGGAATAAGAATCTCCGCGATTGTTTGAAGATATCGGTGAGGGTGGGGGGAAGGTAAACACGCCCACTCGTGACATCCCCCCCCCACCGAACACGGAGCAACGCCGCGAGTGTGTGCGAGTGAGCGTGTGAGTCTGTCTGAGTGTGTGTGAGTCTGAAAGTCTGAGAGCGAGTGTATGTGTGAGTCTGAGTGTTAGAGTGAGTCTGTGTGTGTGAGTCTGAGTGTGAGTTTGTGTGTGAGTGTGAGTGTATGTGTGTGTGTGAGAGTGAGTGTATGTGTGTGAGTCTGAGAGTGTGAGAGTGGAGTGTATGTACAATAATACTGTCTAATCGCTATAATTTTATTATCTACCGACCCTATAATAGTAATTGCACACATTGGGGTGGAAGGGGAGTGAAGAGGACGTGAAACTTTGATGAATTTACCTCAGAATCGCGTGTTAATGCGTGCGCATATTTGTAACGGGAATTAAAAATGGCGTCCACCCCGCAGCGAAGTTGTTGCTACCCGTTGCCAGGGGCAACCGCCGTGGTCCGCGCCGGCCGGCAATATTAAATAAATAAATAACTAAATAAAGAGCAATCGCACTAAATCGATAATCGGTCCGATTTAAAGTTTAGAGACGAAAAATCGGAAATGCCTAAGTTTACCGCGGGCCGGGGGCGTGCCCACCTGCAAAATTTAATCTCGGCGAACCCCACGGTCCGAGAGCTAAATCCCCCGGAAGGGAGCGTACGCAGACGGACAAACAGACAGACAGACAGATAGACAGACAGACAGACAAAAAATGAATTATATAGGTTAGATAGTTGTATTCTTGGTTCTTTCGGTAAAGTCACGTAGAAGGGAAATAATAAAGTAATATTATTACCCTTCTACGTGACTTTACTGAAAGAACGAAGAATATGAATCCCTGCAGTCACGAAAGCTTTAAATCGAAAAAAAATAGTTGTCTTTGTGTGGCTACATAAGTTCTGTTATATGAATTTTATATAATGAGTTGATACATGGCAATAGTGCATTTACAATAATGACTTACAGCCTTTTATCAAGACACTTCTGGATGAAAGATTTCCTACACTTTGTCAGTCATAGGGGTTTCTTTTATTACAATACTTCACCATGCTGGTCAATATTTACCTGATATCATCATCCTACGTCCCTGATATGTGTACACGGTGGCATGCAGGTGAAGGCTGCCACAGGTGAGGTGGTGACAGCTGAGGATCTGGGAGGCGCCGATCTCCACTGCAGGTGGAGTGTGGCCTGCTTTGCTTGTAACTGTCTCTGCTTCTGTCTCATATGTCTGTGTATCTACCTGGCTGCGTGTTTCTCTTGTTTATCTGCCTTCGTCTCATCTTTCTGTCTGCCTGTCTGATACTCTGTCGTGTGTGATACTCTGTCAAATGTGTGTTTCCAACTTTACCCACACTTGTTTTCTCATCGTTGGTTAACATGAATAATACCTATTATTCATAATCAACTATTTTAAATTAACTTAGTAATGCAATTCTATTGGATGTCAATGTCTTGAATGAATATGTGACAAAGAAGCGGAATTCTCTCACCCCAAGTATTGTATATCACATGCAGTATCCTTCCTGTTTATTTACGACACTCAACACCAGAGATTAAATTACGATTAAACTGAGATTTATTGATATATGTTTGGATATTGTTGAGAATCTTTGGCCATTTAGCTACAACAGAGAATGACTAATTGCATGTGAGAACAACTGACTGCGTCATTCAGAGATGCATGGAGCCATCTCTGGTAACACGTTCCTGTGATTCAGAACTCTGGAGGTGAGAGTTGGTGGATCTTGCAGATCTGTGAAACTATCTAAGACGTTGGGCTGCTAGTTCGCCAGGAGATTACAATACACTAAATAGATTCTTAAATAGGACTCTGCATACATTTAAGTGCTATATTGTGGCTTCTGTCTGAATAAGGAGCAACACAAACTAGAAATGAATAAACCTAGAAGCATTTGCGGAGAAATAGCACGTAAAATGAGTGGAATGCCTTTCCAGCTCGGACCCTGCTTGCTTGCCCATCGCCACATATATAACCTTGTTGTAACAGCTCTCTCGCTAGTTCAGCAGTTCCACTACTAGATTATATTTTTTCCGCCTGAGGACGACCACTTGTGTTGCGATCGAAACGTCGTGATTTATTTTATTTTCTACCTACTTGACTTTACCGAAAGAACCAAAGAATATGGATTCCTGCAGTCACGAAAGCTTCAAATCAAGAATGAGCGTGTATGTTTCAGTGATTCCTATATTGTTCTGCATCTCATGCTACTACTGCCCCTATTTCTCTGTTCGTGAATTAGTTTTGCATTGCAAGTCTCATGCATTCTGCCCCTGCATGTGTCTTGGGCCTTGTCTGTGAGTTTAGTAAGTCTGGCGTAACGGACCATTATGCCTTGGATGACCACCATGCACTTCATCTGGCACGTAAGGTGGTGCGCAGCCTCAACTATAAGAAGAATCTTAATGTGAGTGCCAGCTTTGTACACGTCACGCCACCTGCCTGTCAACAATCATGATTTTGTGCTTTGACAAGTATTTGCTTTTATAATTAGTCAAGGTGTACCAGGTCGAAGTTAAGAGGTCATCACAGCCAATTCCTTTGGTACCACCAGAACCTGCTATTGAATCCCATATTTGGTGCACAATTAACACCTGACCTCCAAGGTCTTCACCTTGTGATGTTGTATTATCAGAGGCAAATTAACCTCCAATAGGTCAATAACATCCAGAGCAGTGTCTCAGGACACTGGGAAATTACTACATTTCAATAAGGAGATAAGTTCCCAGAAAGCCAATGGCATCTGCAGCCACTGTGAGCAGCACGACTACCTTGAAGTCTCCTATCACACCCTGTACCAAACACGAATCTTTATTTCCTGGCCAACGCCAAACGCTGCTGTGCGATTCAATGTGTGGATCACAATTGGATCACAAAAGCATCTCGGTAGAGGAATTGGAAAGCATTGGGTAGGAGGTATTATTACAATTCCCAAATAGGGAGGCCAGAAAGCCTGAATCCGACGTATAAATGTGAAAATTTTTATTACATATATTATGTTAAGTGGTGCCATATAATAGCCATAAGATATGTAATACTGGGCAATGTGTCTCATTCATAACAAATACTATTGGTCGCGAAAGCCTACGTGTTAATTGTGTATCATATTTGTATTGCTGCTTTTTAATGAAGAATATTTAAGTTACGGTAAAGATCATAACAATGTCTGTGGAAAGATTGTCCCACATGTATGACTCGTGAGTCCTTCAGATGCTCATTCAAATATGGAAATTAAACAGCTTTCAACTGTCTTTCACATTTTCAAATTAATCTTTTACTATTTCACTCGAGCACGAACAGTCATTGCAGTAACAAAGTGCACGTGATGAAATAGCAGAACTTCGGTGGTACTTACTCACAGTCCATTGGAATCTCACATTTTGTTGTTGCAGGTGACATTAGAAGAGCCACAGGAACCACTGTTTCCAACCGACGAGCTGTACGGCATTGTGGGAGCAAACCTGAAGCGTTCCTTCGACATCCGAGAGGTACCGTACTGCCTGCAATTTTATTCGCTCACACACAGCACGCCCAATCTGTAACATTGCTGTCAATACGACATACATCATGGGCTCCCCACTCCTTTACCAACTTGCATTAACCGGAGTGGTGAAGTATAATTAAACAACCTCCATGACCAATACACAAGGGAATGACTTCTTTCAGCAGTAGTTTAACAAAAACTTGTAATTGCCATAAGTTACAAATGGTTATTATTCCTGATTAGTTCACAAGTGATGACATGTATCCCTCTATTTAAGACCGAAACAGGAGGATTTCTCCACAACTCTGGCTGTGGCCTGATGAGGCTGGTTGTTTATTGGCGACATGTCATAATTGAATTGTAAATGTTGTGGGTTTACTCCCCAACACACTGGTGTGCTGAACTAGTAACGAATTGACATGTTTTGTTTACGTGACAAACCTCACTAACTGGCGGTGTCGGGTGGTGGCGGGTTTAACGACGTATTTATATTTACGCGATCTAACGTTAAAAAAAACTCTTATGGAAAAAATTTGTCGCGAAAGCCAACATTTTAAATTAGTTTTAAAGTAGTTTGTATCACTTATACCTAATTACATACATTATGAAAGGCGTGTTTAGTACATGTAAGAAACAATATTGACGAATGCATACGTCTTTGCATGCCTAGTTTTTGATATCCGCACATGCTGTTGTCCGTAAATTTGAACGGGGCTCTCATGGGATTTTTTTTATAAGATAAGGCATATGGGCTAACTCTCCTAACTAGCCAGCCATGAAGGTCTGAAGTGTGGCTTGTATTAGTAATAAATATACACGTGCACCATAGCATCACATTTGGCATTGCTATCACTCAACAAAGCTACCACAGGCTTAGCAAATAAAAGCATAAGCTGGGGCTTTGCACAATGAGCACTTTCAGTGCCATAGGTTTTGACCAAGTGCAGTGTCAATGCCGCTCTGGGAAGCTTGGGCATGTGTCATCATGCTGACCACTTGTGCAGTCATCGCCATACCTCTGAAAAATAGGATTTGGCTACATGGCAAAGCTTGTACTGCTTGTTTATATAATGTGGAATTATAGAACCATGGCTTTATCTAGTTGGCTTGGCAATATACAAGATGTCTGTTCAACCCTGAATAAGAAAAAAACGACAAAAGCATTGTGTACTGGATCTGTGTTAATGAGATTACTCTGTCATGTAAGTTATGATTTTGAGTTTAGAATACACACACATGTTTATTTTGTTATGAAAATACAGTACATCTCAGTCTCAATGTAAAGTCCCAGTATTCAGCTACATACATATTGTGGAAGGTTAACTTCACCACATTGTATTGAGAACGCGTTGTCTAATTGTCTTAATACTGGAGTAATCCACAAGATATTTTACCCAGGCAAAATGCAAACCATTTTATTAAAATAGCATCTCTGTGTTGAATTGCAACTTTCTCTGTATATCTTCACCAAATTTTATTGGCTCAAATCTTTTTACTTGGGTGTAACAATTATTAATACAGAGCATGGTGTATATACGGTGTGCTGTGCTAATTCTAGAACCGTATTTTATTTAGATTTCTGAGAAAATATCTAAACTTAAATTGAGTTACATCAAAAGCACAGTGTGCTCCATGCTATTTAGAAACATTACTTTAGATGATTTGTGTGATATACATTTGCACACGATAAACCACTTTGTTGAGCTATCATTTGTTGCCAGGTCGCTTTTGAAAAATAAGGTTATATCTCAGTGTGCTTTGCCTAGTAAAATACAAATTGTTTTGTTTTAAGTTGTATTTCTTCTTAGTTATTTTATTACATTTCATGCACTTTGCACTTCTATCGTGTTTTTGAGTTGTTTGTTGTAACTGTCTGACCCACCCCTACTGGACATCTATGAAAAGGAGCTTTATAGCTCTTCGGATTCCTTCGGTATAAATAAAGATTCTGATTCTGACTTGTGTTTGCTAGTACACACCATTGCTAATCATCGGCATCTTTGTGCGGCAGCTCGCAGTGACCTAAGCATTCTGTTCACTCGGAGAGCGAGATTCAGACCTCGCAGCTCTGCCGTCAGCACTCCATTGACCTGAAACTCACTGCCACTGCATGTTCGAGATTGTTTACGGACATTTAACCAATTCAGTAGAAAATGCAAGACAGAATTGTTTAATAGAGCTAACAATTTAACACGTAGGCTTTCATATTCTTAGGTTTTTTCGGTAAAGTCACGTAGGTAAAAATTTAAATTAATAAAAGTAAAATAATATAAAAATCACGACGTTTCGGAGGCAACACAAGCTTCCGTCTTCAGGTGGAACCGTCACAGCCACGACAGCTGTATCAAGTAAATGAGAGATTACAAGAGCTACCACTCCGTAAAGCGATGGGTATTACCTTGTTATCTCGGCATCTCTTGAGGAAGGCCAGCGTCTCGAGAAGCTGTGACTTCTTGTCTCGTTGTCTGTTAAAAACAGATAGGTGGAATTCCTCCCCGTAGAGGGCATTAATTCTAGATTTGAGGCTTTCGTGACTGCAAGGATTCATATTCTTAGGTTTTTTTGGTGAAGTCACGTAGGTTAAAAATTAAAATTAATAAAAGTAAAATAAAATAAAAATCACGACGTTTCGGAGGCAACACAAGCTTCAAATCTAGAAATACGTAGGCTTTCACGACCAATATCCATAATATAGCTTTTTTAGTTAGATCGGGTAAATATTTACGCAGTCCAACCCAAAAAATACCTACTGTATATTAGAGTTGACAATGTATGAATATTGCGCACTCATGATAACCTAGGTTATAAGTGTACTTAGTTACGAAATGTATATAATTAATGTAACGTTTCCTTACCTTTGTATTAAATGACCAGCATACTTGATGGATCTAGCACAGTGAGAGTAAAACAGGACAGTCAAGGGAAGTCTTGTTCTGATTTCAATATGTGATGTCTCTTCTGGTATGAGCCTCTTCATGCATCTTTTTAATAGGAACAGCCTTGCTTTTCATTGCGACTTTAGTTGAGTTGTGGCTTCGATATTAGGAAATTATGATTTTTAATTGGGAAGTTATTTTTTATTTGTATGTGTACCACGATTGTGATGGGGAATTGTTATGGATACTTCTGTACATATATGGTGTTTTGACTGTAGCTGGAACATAATTCGGTGAATGCTGTGTGACATACTTTTGTCACTTTATTTATAGAATGTATTTATTTTTCATTAAATGTTTACGGGATATGAAACACCTTCCCTTTCCCCAACAGGTGATTGCTCGAGTGGTGGATGGCAGCAAGTTTGACGAGTTCAAAGCCATGTATGGTGATACTCTGGTGACAGGTGAATATTACAGTACGGTTTGGACAATTACACAATGCCCTGAACCTTGTCATTGTTTGTCTCAATATCATAGGCACAAACTCATGAACTGAAAACATTTATTAAATCCTTTATATTAAGTTCGCTTGCTTGCTTGCTTACGACCGTGCAAATCTTTCGGTCGTTTTTTAACCCACTTCCCGTGATCCAATCGAGCTGACATTTTCCACACAGACTCATTGTGCGTGACAATTAATTTTCGTGCAATTTTTTTTTCCAAAATTTTACACTGTTTGGGGGAATTTTTAAAAAATATTTAATTACCAATTGCTTAATGCTGGCAGACAATCATCTGACCCATAGGTGGCAGCCATCTCAAGCCAGAGGACGAGAGGACTCTAGCCGCCACGCATATAAAGGATGTATAGTGAAAAACTTTGTTTTTACGGGTTAATTTTTGTAGAGCTATGTGAAGCTCCGGGCTTGCTCCACGGGTCCAACTGGTAGAATGGGCTACTACCCCTAATTCCATCGTCTACCAATCTCCCAACGCCACGCGCTACAGTGACACATTCAATGTCACTACACTAGTATTAACTCCATTTGAATCTCTCATTTATCTGTGTTCCTAAATATGCACATCTTCTTCCTGATGTCCATGTCAAGAAGATGTAGGAAAACTTCACTTCAATATAATTCTGAGCTGTTTAAATATGAAGTGGTTCATCTTCAGCGATTATGTGACTCCGTTCAAGTTCGCTTGGTGAACCAGGGTAGTCTCATTTACAAGAGTAACCTAGGTCACCAAGCTGACAAGAAAAACAAATAAAATAAAGTTCAGCAGTAAAGCAAATGGGGATCAGAACAAAAGCGCTGTCACCTAAGAATGTAAAATATTGCACAAACATGAATCAATGTTCAATAATAGATGCCCTGTGGTCTAAAACAGTTCACGCAAATTATTTTTTGACTTCGAGGAAAACAGTCAGGACCTAAATAACGTTCCTCATCATCAGCTGACGTCACGCAAGCACTTTTGGACCCATGCACTTCACCTTCAACAATGCGAGTTCAACCCCGATGAAGCTTGGAGAGCCGAATGGAGTTCAAAAGAACTCGCAAACAAACACGTTGTGAAAGACTCAACGCAGAAGGTCCCTAGGTTTGATCTTCCATGAAGCCAATAGTCCACCCTAAACTGCATCTGTACAAACCATGGCAGATGCGGATACCTGATGCACAAGTGGAAAATTAAAATCTCTCCAGTGTGCGATTGTTGTCATCCAGAACAGACCATACACCATATAATGACGCAATTCCCGATCCATAAATATGAAGAACACATTGCAGCGATACACTCGGCTGCTCCTGACGTGGTTATCTGGCTTAACTACCTGAATTACATTGTAGTTGTTGCTCTGTGTCTACATCAACCATACGGAAGAAGAAGATGTTTAGACTGATCATATTACAATTGAAATGTACGTACAAATACATTAAACAGACACAGAGTGACGAGTGTACTGTGATATATACAGAGAAGAATATATGTAATGAAATAATTACTTATTTTTTGGTGACCAGTGACATAGTGGATTGTCCACTGTGCTCTGTACTCAACAACTGGTCTTGGAACCGCCCCTCCTTCACCAACCAACCCACACTGATCAGTGTGGTCAAGTATGGTAAAAACAACCCCCATGACCGACACAGCATGGTGAGGTTTTCATCCAGCAGTGGATGGAGAAATGGTTGTGAAGTAAGAAAGGAGTAATAGTAGTTTGATTAAGGTTTCTCCAGATCGAGATGCAATATCATGTATTTGGAGGGGGTGGGTATGGACACTGACATTTTGGATGACATCCACAATTCAGCTCTTCTATTAGAAGCATTTTCACACAAAATGTCTTATGAACTTGTATAAGTTTGTGTTTGTTCTGCTCCCATGACAATGCATTCCATCAAACTGAAAACTAAACGAAATTGATTGCAGCCAGCTGCATTAGCAATTTGTGCTATTTTCTGTACAAAAAGGGACTAATGGGAAGTAATATATCTAACACAATCTTCCAATCCAACCAGAGTCTCTTGATAATATGCTACAGGGACATTTTAAAGTGTGCCATCTGTTAACCTGTATGGATGCAAAAGTTATCACCACATTAATAGCAATATTGGACCAATATGTGGCAATGTCATGGCAAAAAAGGAAAGTCTTCATATTCAACACCTCAAAGTCATCCCTTACTGAATGCATGCATTGTGTGTGTCCGGGTGGGGTCCCTGTGTGCCAGAGTGCTGAGATATAGTGTATATTGTGCATAGTCGCTTGTAACTGCACAATAACAGAGTTGGTGGCAGTGAAATGATGAGTTCCTCTGAACTGCAGTGTATGTAATTTTACCATTGTTAGTTGAAGAATTACAGCATGCATTTATCAGTGCCGGTGTGTAGGTGCCGACCTAAGGGGAAGGTCGTGTAAGGCCATGGCACTCTGGTTGATCCGGGAGGACACGTGACCGGTTAAGATGACAGGGGGGCCCCCAAGAGGGGGCTAGGGGGGGTCACGTGATTGGGAACCAGGTCCTTACCGATGGTTCTGGAAGGGGGAACGTGGCCAAGGGCGGAGCCAGCCACACCTTAGAGAATATAAGCCGAGTCCCGAGAGGGATCGGGGTTGTTCATCCCGGCGAAGAAACCCTTTGTCTACGATCTCCGTTCTCGGAGTCTTCCAGCATATGGACCCGGGCAGATGCTGTTGGTTCCGGGTCCGTAGTAACAGTTAAGTGGTAGCTAGTGTAGTTAGCCGGGTAGTCACCACCCTAGGTTGTTATTCTGTTAAGGGGAAGTTTACCCCTTGTGTTGGAACTAAATAAATGCGCTGCCTCCAAAGTCTACATCTGTAACTCAGTTGAACCCACTACACATTTATTGCATGGTATTATTTGTTATTTAAACTTACGTTTAATAACGATGAACATAAGAATGCAAATATCAATGAGTAAATATTAAATACTATGAAATTCTAAAACATTGTAAAGGAAAGCACTAGCATGTAAACAGTGCAGCACACAAAGGTAGACTGAGAGGGAGAATGTCGCATGCCCAACTTTCGCGCTCTCACCATCTATGCCACTCCCATGCTTTACTACTTCTGCGGCTGTGAATAACTAGAATACAACCCCGTGAATTTCAATAGCACTACAGTACATTTGTTGCAAATACGCAAAACCATGATTATAAAACCTGCAAATATTAAGGGTCGACTGTATTAGATAATCAAATGCATGACTTTTATTCCTTATAAATCAAGGATATTTTTATACTAAATAATAAATGTATTGCTCTTTCATTTACACAGATCTATGTTTTAAAATTGGTTTATATATTATAAAGTCATATGGTAGATATCAATATGAACTGCTCAGAGCCTCTTTCAGGCAGTGTACACTGTGACATGCTCACAAACCAGACTGCACATCTGCCCGTATAAAGAGACTCCATACTCTCATAAGAGTGCATGAGAACACAGGTTGGAACAATTAAATTGGATTGAAAGCCACGTGATGGATTTACACAGGGATGTGCTGATATACGTTAGATTTGTTACAAAATTAGACCAACGACACTTTTGTCGTTAATACATTTCCGGCAGAGATGAATGACGGTGTCGGGGGGCTGGGATCTTTCCATCAACTGGATTGCCAATAATTAACACGTCTGCTTGAGTGCAGTGCCAGAGGAAGGCCCTTTTGTGTGGCAGAGTGCTGAGACCTGGGGGTGCGTTTGGGTTGATGACTCACTGAAAAAATCTATAACTTATTAGGGAGTGTCCAGCCTGACCTTTTTAGCAAGCGGACAAAATGTTACGCCACCGTGATTGTGCCTCTGTGTCTACAGCGTGCTCCTTCTTATGTGCGCATGTTTGGAAGCAGACTCAATTTGGCTATTGACAATTGCAAATCAAATCCCTTAATTGGATGATATCGTGTGGCTGCAAGTCTGTGCCTGTCATTTACTTGCCCCTATTGCATCTGTCACGAATCTGGCTACATTGCGAGGCCTCCTTACAACAACTTTTTCAGATAAATCCATTACATTTTTGTCATTCTATTGACAATAATCTGCATGCTGTTATCCTTGCAAAGGGTTTAATGCATACAATGACAAGTGTGCTAGTACATCCCTTGCTCAAGTGAGTATCACCTTTGTGCATTACTTCTCTGCACTCCCTGTGGAGCCGCAACAAGCCCACACCATGCCGGACGATCTTTAGCAACTTTGTCTGCTTCACCCCAAAGACAGGCCCATGGTCTTTAGTTGGTCTTGAATGGTGCGTCATCAAGTGGTTTTCGGCCTTCCCCGTGCGCTTTTCCCTTGTAATATCCACCGTAGGGCAGTTTCCGCTATGCACTCGGGTTCCATTCTAAGCGCATGGCCCATAGTGTGTGGGAAATCTGTTACTGTCCTATTGAATGTTCCCTGCCATAGGAATGTGGAGTTATAACTGATCAGAATCTGACTGAGAAACTTTTTTCCGTTTGAACTTGAATGTAAATGATAGTTGTTAAAAGAACACACAATATCAATGTTCAATAATGCATAGCAGGCAAAAGATTGTCCTACCGACTCCTTTTTAAATGGACATTTTGAATTATAACATTAAAAAATGTAAACCTTTAACTACTTGAGACCAGGAGGTTGTTCCCATAAATGTTGCACAAGTGGTTTGTTACTGTGGTTAATGGAATCGCGGGTCACGCTGCACGGACATCGCCGGGAAGGAGTGACCAGGAGCTGGGAGTTGACGTTCTGGCAGGAACGTCCGCAATGCGCGACGGCCGCCATTACACGTGGCGGGGAGGACGTGCAGCCAGAAGCCGCCATTACGGGCGGCACGGGGGAGGCGTGGACAGAGTTTGTCATCTTACGAAACAAGCGTGATACGCAAGACACGGCGTCCGCTACTAGAAACGAGGAAAAAGGAACCAAACACGCTCGCTGATTATCTCGGGTTAAAG